AGCGCGCGAGTGAAGCCGCGGTTAACAGCTAGTTGTTGTATAAATGAGCAACAGCAGCTTTGAACCTCCAATGCACCTGTTCAAATAACCGAGTTATATTTTTTTCTGTTTGTTTTGTTTACTTGCGTTAACTAGATAGATTCTGGTACATCCATTGGTGTATTATGGTTTCAATTGTTTCTAATAAGAGTCTAAAATAAAGGTAACAACCTAGCGATGATGAATACCGAATCTTTTTCTACTCGAATCGAACGATGAGATGCGTAAATAGTGAACTAATTAGTTGTCCTGTGCGAAATTTTCGCAAATTTCCATAATCAATCACCGAATTTTTTATTTTTAAGAACTAATTTCTTTTTAAGAATAACTGTAAAAACTCTGTCAACTTCACTATTTCTTATAAACAAATTTCAAATAAGCGCATCTTAGTATTCATAAAAAATTTTTAGACTATAGTTATGTTATATCTGTCTTTTTTTCGTCAATAGTGACAACAATTGGCTTTAAAATGTGTTTGAATCGAAAAATTCAATGAATAATTATTTGCATATAAAATATTCTAGTTCATGAGTAACATCCAATACTTATGACTGTGGTAGCGCACGCAGCATTCTTTGCCGTTGCACGAATGGGCAACGTTGCCTCGTAGGACTGTATTAAAAGGTGGTAACACATCTGCAAGCAGTTGCAGCTGTGACAGATGTCCATTGGCGGCGTTTATACCTTAACATCAGGTGAATCACCAGCTCGCTAGCCAGTTACTCACATTAATCTTTGAGTTATAATTTTAATATGGCGTTACGCCACGGTATGTATGATGACAGATCGACAACCTTCCTCTACTCTCCGATCTGAATCTTCTGTTAGTCACAATGCTCTTGCTATTTACGTCGTGGGTTCAATGTCGCGCCAAGGTCGCTCAGGGAGCCATCGTCGTATTGTCTCGTAGCCCTTAGTGACGAGCGATATCGTGCCAGCTTCCTTCATTATTTGCTGCGATATATTTGTCTACTGCACTACGTAAATATAGTATATACAAATATAACCTAGTAGAGTACATTATATAATATATATCTAGTTACAGAAATAATATTTTTTTACAGTGCCACTCTCTTCATGTAAGATTTAATAAAGTTTGTAGAAAAATAGACGAAAAGCTTTTCATGCAATGCTTCGCCAGTTGATTAAAATGCAACAAAAACAAAGTAGATAAATACGTTGAGATCAAATTTAAACGATTATTAATCATTTCTATTTAACACCAAAGGTGCATTAAAACCATCTCTAGTTTTCAAATATTGCTTTGTAAAATACTTATTTCTTTAATCCCGTCTATATCTTCAATAAGTGACATCTCTTTTTGTGGTTAAAAAATAAGTTAACCGGTTTATCACTTCGTCGGTCTCGTCTCGTCGGTTTATGTTTATCTAGACTCCTTTTAAGTTTAATTAAAGCTGGCGTAATCTTAAGATTGACACGGTCCATTTTTTATGGCCATAATAACGAGGATTAGAGAGCGCAATGCCACAGAAATCGACGGCGAGGTAATTGTTTTTACCTAAAACACTCCCGTTATAGCTCATTGTCCGGGCGCTCGCTTTCAATTCAGTATACTCGAGCGACCCGAGTTCGATCCCGGTGCCGAAACCAACGAAATTATTAATATTAAGTGTTGATATCACATGCTCAGCGGTTAAGGGAAACATCGTGACGACAACCAGCGTATTTTCGAAATAACCAAAAAATTGCCACGAAGATGTTTGAAGTCTGCTAAGGTTGGGGTCGCGTTTATTATGCCATAATACCCTCTGTATAGTGTGCCTTTGCCCAGCAGTGGGACATACATAAGCTGATACCTTCCTACTGCCCTGTTCTATTGTGGTATGCTCGTGGATGTAATGAAGGCCCGTTTTCGACGGGATTAAAGAAACAAACGAATGTCTTGATACGAGATATAATCACACTGGTCAATATAAACAGAGACCGGTGTCAATGACCTCCACTATTAAAGCTTCCCACGTAGTTTGTTCCTAAATCCTAACGCTTACGCTTCGCTCAAATACGCAGCTAATTCCGGGTTTTCTCATTTAAGTCTTATCCCGTCGTGATAGAGCTCAAGCTGCATTGCGTCAGCAACGTTTCTCTAGGCTCTATTCTCGTAACGAGGCTGTCTGCGATTTTCACACTCCGTGGATCCGCCCGGCTCCGTTTATAACGAGCGGGGCCGTTCTAAATATTATTTAGGCTTTAATATGCAGAAAAACATCGTCAAGAGCGTTCGTTTTATTTTTAAACATGTAACAAAACGAATGAGGATAATGTGTTTTGGAGGGATATGTTCAACCTCCTTATGCCGAATCGACATTAGAACACACTAAAATATAAAACACGCCTCGCCTCCGTGTGAGCTTTAAATGGATTATAGTTATTGTACGTGTAAAACACTCGAATGTTAATGGGTAATAATTATTTTTTTATACCTCAAAATAGTTACGTATACTGTCAATAATATTATATACAAATACGATGAAGATATGACACTGCCGATAGCGCGCCGAAGCTGAGGCGTTAAAATTACGGCAATCGGTAATTACATTCTAGTCAGACGACAGCTACCGACCGAGCCGAGGTCCGGCCACCTCGGGCACCCGAGTCGGAATGCTAAACGGGTACTGAATAACAGCCCAAGCCGAGGTCCCCTCTCGTGGGTCCTTGAGCCTAGTCACTTGTAGCGTCCGCCAAAGCGTCTTAAGAGCTTGGCGGCGTACTAAACCGTCGCAATAATAATAGCTTGAAGGTCCGAGCAAAAGCTCTATCGGGAGCCCTCGACCTTAGCCACCCATATTCGAGGTCCAGGCTAGGCCACCACAAGACCGTTGGATCTGTAAAGGCCTCCCAAGGCCAACAGTGATTGATCCAGCCAAAAAAGATTAGTCGCATAATAACAGCGAGCGAATGAACACGTTTGTCGCCGTACGGCATAATTCCTTAAGTATTGCCTAAAATTTCTGTCACATTCACTTATACATATATGTCATATCACTACAACATAGTATAAAACAAAGTCGTCCCGCTGTCTGTCTGTCCCCATGTATGCTTAGATCTTTAAAACTACGCAACGGATCTTGAAGCGGTTTTTTTTAATAGATAGAGTGATTCAAGAGGAAGGTTTATATGTATAATACATTGCACCCGCGCGAAGCCGGGGCAGGTCGCTAGTTATAATGTAAAGAACAATTTTTAAACACCGCGCAGTAGACATGCGTCATCTTTATTCAAACATTGGTATGCCGAGCTATTTTTCTACGTTGAACTCCTCTGAATTGCTATTGCAGACTGCCTGCTTTTTGCCATTTTTGCCACCATATCTACAAAATAATTCGGTGATTAACGTACCTATTATAGTGGCAGACGGTTAAAGTTCATCGTATCATTTATCTGAACTGAGTTGAAACTAGTTCTTGGCCTCCGCATCAGATGACTTCGTTTCGGATCCACGGGGAATATCGGCCAGCACTCGAAGTCAGTTTTTAGTAGTCTTATTTACATATTGAATTGATTCTTTTTTAAAAACATTTCCCTTACTTTTGCATAACATAAGCGTGTGTTGCAAGAACGTTTTAAAAACAAATTTCACGCGGAAAAACACCCTAATGTAATGAATTAAATTAATTCAGCTGGGATAGGCGCGCTAATTTACGCCCCCTGTGTCGCCGCAAGCTGCATAATTATGGTTATTTAGTATGCTAACGTGATATTAGAACTGTTTTCATTGTAGGAAACCTTTTCCTTAAAAACCTTCAGAATTCATAAGACATCGATGACGTGGTTTATAAGCGTTCACGATGGGAACTTCCATTCCTGTTTGTTCAACGAGACGCTCGTATACAAATGTGTTATCGCAAAATCAACTGAATGAATGCTAATATATTAGATAATTATTTCGGTAAATACCGAACGACGACGGATGAGACGGCTAGTTTTGTATATATAAATAGAATTTTTGTCCGTCGCTTTTTCGGCGGTTTGTGCGCGCATTCGTAACTTGTCGCTCCGACTGTACATAAGCCTTCTTCACGCGACTGTACTCGTTGTTTAGTTCAAGATATTTCGTGTGTGCATTTTCCGACCGTTACCATGAGTCCTTCAAGTTGTAAAGTTGATTTATTACAAGTCGTGAGATGGTGATAAGTGTGAAATATTCGATGCGATGGGATCGTAAGGAATTAATTGTTTTTTCACCGATTATTACGTATAGTTATTTATCACTAAGTTTTGCGTTAGATACGATTTCCGTATTATTTTTACGCGACAGCCAACGTAGGGTATTGTTTTTCGATCGCATGTACGTATTTTTATCTCTTTGGCACGCTCGTATAGGCATTCGTCTTAGTCGTGGGAGTGACATAGGGTGTGTTATTTCAATATAGTATCCGAGAATGTGAGATATATCTATGTCCCACTGCTGGACGAATAGGGCACAGACCACGACACGACCCCACAGCAGTGTTACCAACTGTCCAAAACAAATACTCTTAAAGCGATTCAAAAACTACATAACTACACTGAATTCAAAGCAAAACTTCCTAAATAAGAAAGATATAAGACGTTTTGGTTTGAATTTACCTCCTAAAAACATTTTTCTTCCTAAATTTACGACATCCGTGCCCCACAGCGGATTGGCAGAATTCACATATATTTTTTTGAAATATTTATTTTTGTTTGTATCTCGAACATTGCATATGTTCGAAATACGTTCGAATTATGTTAAAATAAGTTCGGTTTCCTCACGGTGTTTTCCTTCACCGTTGAGCACGTGATAAGTCAGCACTTAAAATTAACAATTACATTGGTGCCGACACCGGGGATCGAAATCAAGTTGCTCGAGTATGTTGAATTAAAAGCGAGCGCCCGGACAATGAGCTATCACGGCTCCTCAGCGGCGTCTAGCATTGTTATGTTTAAAGGTCATCGATCTGACCAGCTTCTGTCGCCCACAGGTATACGCTGCCGACACGCGCTGATGCCGTTGTGGAGTTGTGGAGGTCGAAGCTCGCAGAGGGCGTGCTGTCGCCGGCCCACTTCCTGGACCACTGGAGGGTCACCGTGCCGAGGATATACTCGCCGCAGCCCAACAGAACATGTCTAGGTTTGTCTCAACTCTCACTGCATATGACCAGTTTGTCAGGACCTTTAGCGGAGGCCGATACAACAGTGGTAGGTCCACGCAACAGTTTACTGTTGCACGATGGGAAGGTCCGTCCGGAAAAGTAGCTAGACCGGCGTGACGTGGAAGTGGTATACTTCTGCGTTTCGTCTGGTGAGTGAGGTAGCCCGGGCCCACTTTAATAAAAGGTTTCAACGTAACTGTAACCCTACGGGACTAGTAATGTATATGGGAGGCGGATATCACTTACCATTAGGTTAACCGCTGCTTGCTCTCAAATGAAAAAAATTGAAAGTTAAATAAATTTGTAAAAGCTCACCTTGTTTCTAATTCTGTCCTACATCTAAATGTAAATAAATTTTGTAAGAATTTGAAAGGTTCAGGAATACAATTGATTGCTTTTTATGGGTATTTATTGTTTGGCATGATGTAGGTTACTATTTGCATAAGGCTTTTTCATAAGACATATACAGTATTTCTACTTTTGTCGTCCACGCGATATACGATATCAGCGTATGAGACAGTACACCACAAGGGGCTTGAACATTTGATACAAAGATATCGAATGCAGAATATTTGAGACTAGGCTCATTTACGTAATAAATAGTGCACCAATTATGCACTATTGTGCACAATTAAAGCCAAGTAATATTCTAATGTTGGTTATAAAACGTACGGTGGTATGTACCCCAATAGCTCGTAGTTCCGTTCTGCCGTATTTTTAATGAAAGAAACCGTCATCATCATCATCATCAGCCGCAAAACGTCCACTGTTGAACATAGGCCTCCGACTTGGAACGCCACAACATCCGGCGGTTAGTTATCACCAAATAGTAACTTATTTCCTCCGACCGTATACGGCGTTAGGGCCGAGCAGCCTTCGCTGTTGCAATAATGGGCAGGGCCGTCTGGTGATGCACCACGACGACACAGAAGATCGGCGTGAAGTGGTAGGTTTTTACGACCGACCGGCCACCTGCCTGACGTTAACCCTCCTTGCGGAGGGTCCAAGTACCAAGGTCCGGATGTCCGGATGATATATGTGGGTCACATAAATATTTGTCCCGTGTTTGAATCGAGGCACCGAAGCAAATAGCTTAGCAACTACGCCACTGACTACAGTGAATACCACCACGCATAAATAAATAAATAAATTATCCCTCTTGCGATCGCGCTGCAGTTCCCAACTCATAGACTACAAATCTCTATATCCCGCTACAATTTGGTGTATAGTTGTTATTCTGTGAAAACTTTGTAGGTGATTTTTAATGAGATAATTTGGCAAGCGAGCAGAACGTGATTGAATGCGATGACAACATGATTACCGCCTATGAACATCTGTAACACCAACTTTAGAAAAGTGAGTTGAGTTTTATTAAGGTACAAGTCAATTTTCGCATTCTTCTCGTATGTGATAAGCGAAAAAGTCTCTAGAACTATTTCACCTTTTTAGCTTAGAACCAACTCACTAGGGCCCTTGAGTTGTGCGCAAACTGAACCGTGGTCTCCCCGTTCGCAGACTGGTCGTTCGACGAGGAGCTGGCCCAGAAGCTGCTCATCCAGCCGCTGGAGCAGTTCGTGTGGGGCGACGCCTGCGGGGAGCTGGTGGTGCCGCCGCGCCGCTCCACGCTCTGCGGCCGCGTTTTCAAGCAGGGCGAGCCCGCGTACAGCTGCCGCGAGTGCGGTGAGTGTTCCACTGTCCAGCCGGCTAGCGAGCCAGCCAGCCAGTCAGTCTCACGTCGCTGTGGACTGTTTCAACATCCTTCTGCACTTACCCCACCTTTTTTTTGGTATCGGGGGAAATCTTCGAAAGATACCCTGCCATTATATGTCAGGGTTATGTGGGGTTCTTACCCACTAAAACCGCCTCGGTGGCCACCTTCTGTATGTTTGGAGGGACTCCGGGATCTCCTATGGAAAGCACCGGTGTGCCTTGGTACTGGGCGTGAGCACGCCTCGGAGAAGGATAAACCTTCCCCGATTCCCTCGCCATCTTGTAGCAGCTCGAGGCCAATTCGTGCTGCTGCCAATCCTTGTCCCCTTTTAGTCGCCTTTTACGACATGCAGGATATATCTTAGTCCCTAGGCTGGACCTTAACCCACCTAGGTGGCGTCGGCGCATGAATTGTTTTGTTTGTCGTTTTGGCTGGGTTTTTTTAAGACTGACGTTGGTACCAAACGCTCTGATATGGTTATCTGCGAGTCGCAAATGACTTTTCCATGTGCGAATCAAATTGATTACATCCGGCGCTAATGGGTTATCAGCTACTATTATACGACTATTTAGCGGTACACAATTGTTTAATTATACCCTTAGACACTCGTTCGATTAACGACATGTAGCAGTGAAACTATTATATCTGTGCGCGATCTCGTTAAGAAAGGCTTTCGCTAACAGTCTTACGCCCGGTGTCCGAAACATTGATAATCGTAGATGTTAACTAATCAGCTGTTAAATAGCTTTACAAATGTTATTTGAGTTGCCAAAATGATTGTTAAACTCTCTGAATTGATCACAATGGTCTTTGTAATGATCAGTGTTTAATCATGCTTTTGGCAACTCGAGCGCCCTTATTATGTAACTATTTTTAGTTCATAGTGTTCTGTAATCTCTGTGCTCGTCACGGTATACTCCAGACCCTCTCCTGGATCCTTTCAGGCATGGACAACACGTGCGTGCTGTGCGTGGAGTGCTTCAAGGTGTCCGCTCACCGCCACCACAAGTACAAGATGGGCCAGTCGGGGGGCGGGGGGTGCTGCGACTGCGGCGACACGGAGGCCTGGAAGAGGGACCCCTTCTGCGAGCTGCACACGGTGGGTAGTCCACCTGTCCACGGTTGTATTTTGTGTGGAAGGGCTGGGGCAGTAAGACCCAGCGACTACTGAGACGCCCCCTTACTGTCAGATAACTACCGTGTTGCACGTTTTACACTCATAAATTTCACGTGGACAAACATCAAGATCCGGAAGAATTACCTGTGGATCGAATAGGAATCGAACTCACGAGCCCTGACGTCGAAGCCAATACCCTGGCAGCTGCGCCATGGAGTCGTGTCTAGGGTTTGGCGTCGACGATGTGGTGGTCTGTTGTGGTGAAGATACCAGTTTAAATTGTCTGGTGAGATTGGCACGAACCTTATAAAGTTTATGTGTCGAATTTTCACGTTTGGCCTGATGAGTGAGGTTACCGGGAACCTCTTTTCTTTTAAGGTTGTCAACGCATCTGAAAGCTCTCAAGTATTGTAGATGTCCATATGTGGTTGTAATCACTTAACATCAGATGAATCGCCTTAGCTTGACAACATTTCATGTTAAAAAACTGGTTGCTTGCATGATTCAGAACAATCAGTTTTACTGTGGTAGGGCCAAGCAACAGCCTTAGCTGTTGCACGAATGGGCAGGTCCGGCCGGGTAAGTACCACAACCTAACAGAAGCCCGAAGTGGAAGTGTTACACTTCTGCGTTTCGTCTGGTGAGTGTGGTAGCCGGGGCCCACTATAAAAAAGTGGCAAAGTATCTGCAACCCTACGGGTTTGTTTAAAGAGATAAAGGTATTGACTGTTGGTTCTCAATACATTTTTGAAAATATTTTGTATGTCCATAAAAATATGGATAAATTTTCAAGACATAATAATGTTCATGATATAAATACTAGGAACAAAAATAAATTGATCCTACCCACAAGTAGACTGCGCAAAATAAGTAAATCTTTTATGGGACAATGTATACTTTACTACAACAAAATTCCAGAAAACGTTCAAAATGCAGTTCAAAACAGCTAAATTTAAAAAAATAGTAAAAGAATGTTTGTGTGTTAAAGGCTACTATAATATTAATGATTATTTAAATGATAACACACTCTGGTAATGAACTGATCGCTTCAGGCTCTTTCAATCAGAGTCCTTATATTGTATTTTTAATGAATTCATGTCAAACTTGTGGCTTTCTTTTCTGAACCGGTGGTAGTGTTTTGACTATCAATAAGCGAGTGTAATGCTCCATGTTGAATAAAGACATTGATTTTGATTTTTGGTGTATACCATGGACGATGGTTATCACTTAACATCAACATTAAAAAAAAATAGAAATTCTGGATTAGTTGGTGTTGTTGATTGGGTTTAATCACCCCCAGGCGGCTGAGAGCGACGAGAAGGAGTCGCAACCGAGCATCGGGCCCGACGTGCTGGAGAGGATGAGGGTCGTGGCCTCCGTCTGCCTCTCGTACTGCTTCCGTCTGCTGACCCTGGACCACGCGCCGGGGCTGCCCAATGAGCTCAGGTAGCGTGGCTCCCCTAGTCACTTCGCTTCTGGTGTAAACACGGAAACCGCGTTACAAAAGGAAAGCTTCAAACAGATTTATTTATATTGTGTTACATAATGGTTGATTGGGAGATAATGCTGATGGCATTAAGTCCGCCTTTGTACATTCATGTTGTGAAGTAACCAGGGCCTCTTTAAGGTTGCAAACGAAATCTTTCGTGCTATGCTGCTCTTATGGGGCGGCGGTGTTCTTCTGCCGTCAGATTAACCAATTGGAGTGTTCTATCCCTCCGCAGGTTGAAAGACGGCGAGCGGGATCTGCTCCAGATCCTGGACCAGCCGGACTGCTACTGCACGGTGCTGTACAACGACGAGACCCACACCTTCGAACAGGTACTCACACAGTCCAAGACCTATCACTCAGTTCCGCTCAGCTAAGGGGCCAATATCTCGAGATTGTTCCTTTTAGATGTCGAAGTTAAATTTTCCATTTAAATTGTATGTTGTGTTGAGGTAAACCGAACCCTTAAAAGGAATTCTCAAAATCTGTCCATAAATCATTGAGTTCTGGGTTAAAATAATACAAACAAATTGAAAACTTCCCTTTTTGAAGTCAGTTGATAATATTGGGGCTTTTAAAATGTTATTTCTTATCTCCGTCTAATCTTAGTAGGGTTACATGTCATTTTAGTTCTTTTTGAGTTGCTTGAAGGCCACTAATATCCATATCACCCGTTGCGGATATTGCGCTTGCCTTTAAGAGTGTTAGTTCCAGTTACCTCACAAGGCCTTGTATACCTTACCCCGGTCTTCTGCGACCGTCTTCATAGTTCATCAAATCGCTGAAGCATCAGTGTGGCCCCAACACTGGAGATACTCTGATGATGTATTTCTTATTACTTTAATTTTTGTTGCTATTTTCTATTTATTTCTTTTCCCCTTCCATTAACGATTACTTTTGGTCAATTTATGAGTTTGCCTGAAAGAAATCGCTGTGCTGCAGTAATGGTCGCCTTTTGATGACCAAATATTTGGTGAATATTTTGTTTTTTTGTGCTTTATTCTTTTTTGGTGTACATAGGAAGTATATTACTATTATTATACTCACTGTCACTGCCCTCGTTCCAGGTGATAGCGACCCTGAACCGAGTGCTGAAGTCCAACCACCGCGACTCGGTGGAGCTGGTGAGCCTCATAGACCGCGAGGGCCGAGCCCTGGTCAAGTGCAACTCCTTCCAGATCTGCGACAAGCTGAAGAGCGACATCGAAGCGTAAGTCCAGAACGACTTCTGTACGTAATATTTCTCCTGACCTTATCCCGCTTAGGTGGGTCAACATGTGAATAATTTTTTTTGGTTTACCACCGAAACTTGCAACCGCTTTCGGCGGCAGTATTTTTAAATAAGTATCGCAGTTTCATGTGCCTTCATGTGGATTATTTTGTTAATGCTATTAGCCAGGTTTCCTTTATATAGGAGGGTCAACCCTCCTTGGAGACAAACAGATCCGGAACGATTATCTGCATTTCGCATATACTTATCCCGTGTGGGAATCGAACCCAAGATCCGAAGGCAGTGGCTTAGGAACAGCCCGATTGAGTCATCAATTCGGTTCATACGTCTAAAATTAAAATGTCATTAAAAATTTATTTCGAACATCTTTAGTACTGCTTATTTAATGAATTACTTATCAAACCTTTTATAAACAAACAATTTTTTTTAAAATGATGTATATGCAATGTAATAGATATTTCAACTGCAATACTTCCTTTTTATTTTTTAAGCTTAAAAATATTAATAAAACATTAAATCTATTAATAAGTAGCAATTAGCATCATCATGGGTGAACTTCCTGTCATTTAATTCCATTTATATGTCCTATAGCCAACTAGGGCCAAAAATACTGATGTCTTTTGTATTATATTTGTTTTGATATTATACAAATATTATGACACATTTTATACAATGCTCTAGTCCCAAACTAAACAACGCTTGTACTATGGGTGATTACAAGACAGCGGATAAACATACTCAAACATATTTTACAGACACTGGAAAAAAACAATGTTCACAAAATATTTTCCCAGTAGTGGGACTCGAACCCTCACTATCTTTCGAACCTCTGGCACCGGAGGTAATTTCCCTACCCTAGTCCATTGAGTTGTAATGTATACATATGATATACGTATCATTTTAATAAACCCTAATCGTATGAAGATATGCTTCGATCCCCCACTTTTCGGGGGATTGACATGGTTAAATGTTGACACTCAGCCGCACGTCGATGTTCGAAAGGTTCACGTCGCGGCACGGGCCCATCCTGAAGGTGCTGGTGATGCACGCGCACGTCATCGCCCACCAGACCTTCGCCATGAAATTGCTGCATTGGTAAGTCACCCACCAGGTGCCACTGAAGGAAGAAAGTAAAACGTTCATTGTACAAATACTATTGAACAAACAAATAAAATTATAACTATTATATAATTATATAACATAAAAATAAAAACAATAGTAAAATGAAATAAAATAATAATGATCTGTGCACTATAATGTAATGATAAATGATTGGGGGGGGGGGGGGATCAATTGAGATCTTACCATCACCGTGTGCCTTTCCACCCTCAGGCTGCAGAACTTCGTGAGCAAGGAGCAGCAGCTGCGGCTGGCCGTGAGCCACGTGGCGCTGGGCGAGGGCGTGGGGCTGGTGGGGGCGGGGGCGGGGCTGGGGGCGGGAGCGGCCGGAGGCTGCGGCGGCGTGGCGGGCGGCGTGATGCAGAACGACTGCCGCATGTGGAAGGCGGCGCGCACCGCCTGGCACCGGCTGCTCATCGCCACCACGCTCATGGACTACGACACCAAACGGACCATGGCCATCCTCTTCACCAAGAACTACGGTGCGCGCTGCGTATGCTCTATTCGATATAGGAGCATTGAACTTTCTTATTGATTGTCGAAATACTACTACCAGTTTGGGAAAAAACCGAAGCGCACGAAGCGTTCCGTACCTTTTTTTCTTTATGTGAAAAGTTGCCAAGCGAGCAGGCGGTTCACCTGATGTGAAGCGAATAACGCCGCCCATAAACATCTGCTACAGCCGAGGCTTGCAGATGCGTTGAACATCTTTTAAAGATTGGGCTCCGGGTACCTCACTCACCAGACGAAACGCGAAATTATTTATTATACTTCCACTTTACGCCGGTCTTCTGTGAGGTCGTGGTACTTACCCGGACGAGCCTGTCCATTCGTGCAACAGTCGAGGCTTCTGCGTGGCCCTACCATATCTATAAAAACGGCAAAAAGTCATGTCTTACACTTAAATATTTTTTTATTGTGTTTTAAGTATTTGTTGTTATAGTGGCAACATCATCTGTGAAAATTTTAACTGTCTAACTGTCACGGTTCATGAGATACAGCCCAGCAAGACAGACAGATTCCATTCTACCCTTTGGGTGTGGAACCATAAAAAAAAATACACTGACGTGAGAAGAACCGGCGAAAGATAATCATTTTTAAGTTAAAGCTATCTGTAAAATATAACTTAGCAACTGCACCAATGCAGCATGAGGTTTTGTTCAATTCCTGCACAGGAAAAGTACTGAAGATTAATACTCTATGACTATGATGACTACTCGTTTTTTTTACATATTCCTATTGTACAAGTAAAATACCTCGAAATTTGCTAACACTACCAGGGCGTCATTCGATACGGGAGGGATGCTAATCTCCTTGCGTTTCCAGGTTCGATCCTGAAGGACTTCATACGGGACGACCACGACCACTCGTTCTCCATCTCCTCGCTGTCGGTGCAGCTGTTCACGACGCCCACCCTGGCCCACCACCTCATCGCCAAGCACGACGCGCTGTTCGTGGTGATGAACACCTTCGTCAGCGAGTGCCAACACAGATGCAACAATAAGGTTCGAATTTATACTCTGTACAACCAACATGGTGACGTCGAAAAAGGGAAAGAAGAAGAAAGATAAAACTGACCTGGTATTCCAACAATTCAACAAATAATAAGTGTTCGAGGTCAGCTCGACAAAGAAAGTACAACAGTCCTACTGATGCTGTACCTACTGATGCTGTATTTTTCATTTCACATAGGTTATCCTAATCAGATAAAGTATTTTTTCGGTTGCTATACCAATTAGATATAAATAACATACTAGCTAACCAATCTAATCAGCTGGGTTATGAATAAGGCTCAATTTTCAATGCAAATTGAAGCCCAGTTATTAATAATTATTTTTTTTTTTAGCAGAACCCAATAATTTGTTTAAACTCAATAGGCGCATTTATTATTATTGACTGTAGTATTGGTATTTGAGTATATAATTACGGTGATGCCTTTGCTATGCTATTGGCTTAGGCGCCTGAGGTCGTGGGTTCGATTCCACATTACATTTGATACACAAGTATTTGTGAGGACTACATATAATTGTTCTGGATCTGGGTGTTTGTTTCCCAAGGATGTTTGACGTAAGGCAGGCAGCCGGTCGTAAAAAAGTATGTACCTGCCTCTTGCGCCAAAGGGTGTGGGTTCGATCCCCACTACTGGAAAAATATTGTATGATGAACATAGTTTTCTACTGTCTGGGTGTTTATACAGCGTGTCGTTACCACTGCGACAATAAGTGAACACACATATAGAGGATAACTTTTTAAAATTGTATTAAACGTTTACATTCTTTAACACGTTCAGTGCCACCGACTCGCCCGGCGAGTTCACGTAAATTTTATTCCAGTGCCGACGACTCGCCTGGCGAGTTCAGTGTTTTTCACCAATATTTCGAAAATGCATCCGTATTTTCTGCTCAAAATTATAGTTTAGACTAAATATATGCTAAACTAAAGATTTACGAGGTGGGCCGGGTGCGGAGACCCCGTTTATATTTGAATGGAAAAAAACTATTCTGCAATGCCTTGAACTCGCTAGGCGAGTTCGCTGCCATAGATCCTCAACCTTTTAAAGTAAATATGTCGCGACGTCAACATAGTAGCAAGGACTACCTACATACTTGTGATATGGAACCAATATACCACAAACTACAGTGGAATCTTAATAACTCGAATGTTAAGGGAAATGCTAACAATTTCGAACGAGTTTTCGACTTACCAAAAACTTCGAGATACATATGATTTAAATGCGCTGAAACTTCGACTTAAAAATTAATACTGACGGACAAGCTCCGTTAAAAGTAATCGTGTCGACAAGGAACAAACATAACACAGCTGTGTTACTTATAAAGTTTTATGATTGTTTTCATTCATTGCACGTGTATAAGACAAAAACAAAGAGATTAGAAGCCCCGAACCCGAACATTCATTTTGGATTTTATTGCTATTATTTCGGGGAATTCCAAGTAAGACGTCATTATATTGTACTAACTACGACTTACGGAGTCTCCTTTTAGAAATTCGAGTTATAGAGTATTACATAAATATGTACTATCAATACTTCGTTGCCAGCCTTATACGGCCCGGCGACAGCAATTTGGATGCTGCCTTTCATATCTAGTTTATTTTCCTTTATTTTTCCTTTCCTTATAAATTTAGTTAAATAGATTTTTTATACACAATGTTTTATATAAGTAATAATATAGTTTTTAATTTAATTGTAATTTTAAGATAGATTTAATTTTTTACCCTGTTATTAAGCCAAGTAAGAATATATAATATATAAATACTTCGTAGGGAAATAACATTTTGTTCAAGTTATATAGTCTTAATAATTTAAGATATCGCGTATCTAGGGGTTCAGTGGAAGGGAATGGCAATTCTTTTCGACTTAACGAGGTTCGAGTTATAGAGATTCCATCTTAGTTTCATTAGAATAAAAAACAAGCTTAAGAAATACAGAGTTATCATAATATTTGAGATCACATAAATCTTGTGGCTTTGCAAAGGGTTGAAAATGTTTTTTTATAAAGGGTCGGCATTGATAAAGCTGCTGGCAAAAAAAACAACAGCGCGCCGCTGTTTTTGAAGAACAAAAGCACTGATAACATTGTTTTTTGCGAAGCTCTCATTGGCTAATGTTAAATCGCACTCCAAGAATGCACTTGCAACTAAATATTCAATTTCAGTGCTCTGTACGACCCTTTCGTCATCGCATGCGTTTATCTGTTCTCTACTTTAGTGACCTGGCTTACATTTACTGGACTCCCGTGTTTTGATTACCTTGGCTTGCGATTACTGGACTTGTTTGAGTGCTGTTTCGACTATACCTTTGCTTACGATTACCGGACCTGTTAGATACTGTTTGAACTACTTTGGCAAACGTTTACTGGACTTTGAGTGTTCTCGTGTCTACCTTAAGTTGCCACAGCTGGAATTTTGAAAATCGGTGAGTACTCTCCATTTTGGTTTATTTATCAAATGGAAAGTCTACTTTATCAGAGTGTAACTCTATCTAAATCTTTCCTTGATTTAACGTCATTTCATGATTCCTAAGTAGGCCTTAAAACTGTGCAAAACTTACATGGGGTGATTCAAGACCGCGTGAAACGGGGGACCTAATTTTTTTCTTTGGACGTCAATCTTCCGGCTAACCTGTATAAGCCAGAGAGATTCATTGATTTGTTTGTTTCATAATGTTAAAAAAGTTTATTAAAGTAGTACAAATTAATGTTTTGTTCCAAGGTTATGGATTCTTACGACAACCCAGTACCTGGAACTTCTCATTCCTGGGACGATCCTGCTTGGAATACCCTCCACATCGAGGAGACACTCGCAGTTATGGATTCGTTTATCGAAGAACCAAACAGAGAAGAAACAAATTTACTTATCCATTCACCTCAATATCCAATCACGGATTCTGAATTATTGGGGATATTGTCAGAAAATGTATTGGATGAATTGGAGACAGATAATGATGGTGACTCTGATCCCGAATTTTTCGAAAATGCACATGAAAATGCTCAAGAAGACTATGTTACGCCTGGTGAAGCATGGTTTCCCGGAAACCCGACATCTAATATAACCGAATTCCAATTCCTGAAGACCCCCGGACTGAAAGAAGATGTTGTTGATGAGCCTATTAATTATTTCGACGCATTGTGTTCTTCTAATCTGCTGGAATTACTTAAAGACTGCTCCAATGAATATGGAGAAATAGAAAAAAAAAAATCTACCGCGGCCACAAAAAGCAGAAAAAAATCTTGGAAGCCTGTAACCAGTCAAGAAATGAAATTGTTTTTCGGTCTCATATTTCATATGGGATTTATAAAGATAAATCGCTTGAATGACTACTGGAAAAACGATGCGTATTTTGATCAACCTATATTTGGAAGGGCAATGTCACGGAATCGATTTATTAATTTTGAGAATGTTATGTGTGTATGTAGGACAAGTGACGTGCAGTTATGATAAAGTTAAAAATATAATCGATTACTTTAATGAAAAAATATTTTCTTTATATTATCCAACAAAAAAAAATTACCATTGACGAATCAATGATGTTATGGCGGGGACGATTGTCATTTAGACAATATATGAAGGGAAAGCGCCATAAATACGGCCTAAAATTCTACGCACTGGCTGACCAGCTCGGGGTTATTATGAAACTACATTTATACGGCGGTGCATCTGATGCTCTCGTAGGCGGCAAAAATCACGTGCAAAAAGTAGTTGACCACTTGCTTCATGATTTTATTAATGTAGGACATCATTTGTTCGTAGACAATTATTATACAAGCGTCAGTTTAGTTGAAAAATTATTTTCTAATAAAACCTTTTGCACAGGTACGCTTCGTCAGAAGAGAAAAAATAATCCAAAAGAAATTGAATCCGCGAAATTAAAAAAAGGAGAACTATGCATTGTTCACAAGAATAATGTTTGTGTATTAAAATGGATAGACCAAAGAGAAATAAGGGCTATATCAAGTAAATATAATGGGGATTTAGAACTCACGCGAAATCGACGGGGTACTTTGAAATTAAAGCCACAAATGGTTATTAAATACAATAAATGTATGAAAGCAATCGATCGACATGACCAAATGTTGTCTTATTATTCATGCGAGCACAAATCGTTGCGATGGTATAAAAAGGTAATCATACATGTTATGCAAATTCTATTGGTCAACTCCTTTTTATTATATAACAAATACAATTCAAAAAAATTAACATTGTATGATTTCCGCTTAAGTGTAATTAAGTCAATAATAGAACCTCATTTGCCTCCCACATTACAAAGGCCTTTAATGAATAAAATTCATTGTATTATGAAACTACCAAAAGATACCCACGGCAAAACAAAGAGAAGGCGTTGTAATCAATGTTGGCGCACATTAAAAAAAAGGGTTCAAACTGCATTCGCATGCGAAGATTGCCCAGGTCAGCCAGGATTGTGTATTGAGTGTTTTAGACCGCACCATAAATATTAAGAGCATTTATACCATCCACTAGCATCACTTACTAGTAAAAGCCTTTAAGATCGTACTAAAAATTTTTGTGTTGCCTAAAAATGTTGATTTAAATTGTTTTGTGTTATAAAAATAAAAGTTGATTTACATAATGTTTTATTTACTTAACTAATTTCCACCACTTAACAAACACAATATCACAAATTATTATTCATTAACATAGCAGCATTTAGACTCAGTCTTGTGGATTAAATTAATAAGTAAAACTAATCAATATATTGATAGTATTTATTAATAATCATTCATAGATTCTTTTGCGTTTCTATCATTACATAACTTTCAACCCAATTATCAGAGACCTTAATTATTAATTTATGAATTGTTTTCAATCAGTCTAATAATCTGATACATAACAAAGCGCCTTTTAAACATTGGCACATTGGCAAGTTCACGTCCAATAAAAATGCCAAAGCTTTCGTTGGCCATTTCTATATACTTAGAATTATCACCTGTAGTATTAGTTTGAGTGCTGCTTTCAGTAAGATTTAAGTTTTTCGTATTTGTTGAAATGTCACATGTTTGATAGTTATTATTGTCGTCATCCCAGTCTTGAGAATCATTTTCAAACAGAACCTTCATCGAGTTGTCTTCAGTGTAATTTTGGAGATTTCCTAAAATAAAATAAAAATAGGAATAAAGCAGCTTTTAAATATTACATGTTTTTTATGTAAACAAGTGATGAGACGTGCTGGACATTCACACGATGGTAAGCGTCATGCCAGCTCATAACAGTTGCAGTGCTACCCATTGCTTTGATTTACAGTCATTGGATGCACTGCACTGCGCTCATCAATGTGAGAAGTCAGTTCTTGAGTCTCATGTGCCCAGTTATTTCACTAGCTACAGTGCCATTCAAACAGGAACAGAGCATTACTATTTGGCGGCTGAATATCTGGCACTGCTGGTGTCCACCACAGGTAGTCGTACCTAGCATAAAAGGCCTACCACCTGGTAAAACGTTGTTAAGATAAGTAAAATGAAAATAATCAATAACAAAACAAACACGTTACCTTCTATGCATGGTCGCTTTGTAGGTCTCTCCTCCTCCATCTGAGTTAAATCGTCGTCGTAAGGCTCCGTTTCTGCCACAAACCGCGCTAAAAAAATATCAGGCACTTCTTAACAAACGAACGTAATAAAAATGTTGTTTCATTTAAAGACACTATAATTATTGCATATTAATAAGTTATCATTTAATTTTAATTCGACAGATTTTAAACGTTTTCAAAAACTATTTTTTTTAATTGTTATCAATTAAATTCGCAATAAAAATTATATATTTTAATCTGATACAATATTCTTAAAACTGAGAGCCCGTATTTCAGGGTAAAATTGTCTATTTACAAGTACATATTACAAAATTCAAAATATAACCTTAACAGTAACCACAGTTAAAAAGATTGACAACCACTGCTTAAATTACGAAACACACTTACCTTTTTTTTTATCCGAAGAGTTTTTTGCCATTTTTACAAGCTAAAACACTTTTTAAAGAAAAAAGACAAGTCCTAAAACACTTTTTAATTGCGTTGTACACTGTGACGGCCACAAAAATAACAAAACATAGAATTTACCATAAGTAGTGCCAGTGAACTCGCGTGGCGAGTCGATTCAATTTATATAGCAGTGCCGGCGACTCACCTGGTGAGTCCACCGGAAAATGTAGGCGGCATCTGAGAAGACATCATGAAAATCGTAGTGGTAATGAACGTGTTAAACATCAATATTTACCAAGATATTAAATTGTCCAAAAGAAACAATTTTAGAACACCCTTACGTATGAAACTATAACGTAAAGTTCATTAGTAAAGGTCACAAAGCATATGAATGGGTTGAATGAATTTAAAAGAGACAAAACATACTGTTAGAAGGAGAGGCTTGTAATGCGACGCTGTGGCGCGAGTTTATACAACTCAAGGTGTTACAAATTTTGTTTCTTTTTTACTTAATTAGTTTGTTTGAAAAAAATTTTTTTTAAAATTATGGCTTTTGTTTAACGTTAATATTTTTTTATGATTACTGACAAGTAGCGTTAGACGTGTGTTCATTTATAGTCGCGATGGTAACGACACGCTGTATATGTATAATATGTATTTATTCAAAAAAGAAAAGTATGTTCAAATATGTTTATCAGTGATCTAATATCCATAGTATGGCATTAACACTCGCGCATCTGTGACCCCAGGGCCGTTTGGAGTTCGACCGGAACCACGTCTCGATGGCGTTCAAACGCGCCCAGTTCATATTGTACGACGTGAAGTACCTGCTGGGCAGTGTGCCCACCACCTTCGACGACGACCTGCGTAAGGGCTTCCTGCACGGGCTCTCCCTGATCATCTCGCTCCTGGTCATGATGCAGGGCATGGACTCCGTTGTGAGACAGGTGAGTGAGATAGACATATCTATGGGTATTTATATGCAAAGTACTTTAAACATGTTTACTGCACCCATAGTACAAGCTTTGCTTAGTTTGGGACTTGATAACAATCTCTAAAAATATGTGCAAAAAATTAAAATTTTTAATATTATACACACCATTGTCTTCTCTAACTCTTTCTTCTATTTTATTTTTTGTTTTAACAAATAATCAATTAGTAAATTTAAATAAGGTTTGGCGTAATACTTTTTGTTTTGTCCATTTAGACTTAAAATTTAGAATATGTGTTACTTCCATAATTTCAAGATACTTTTTACTTCCATAATTTCAAGATAACTTATAGTGGAAAGCTGTATTTGACTTTAAACTGTATTAGACTTAACAATGAAGTTAAATGATCGTAATCACGCTTTACTTTTTACACTTTAAACTTTCGTCTACTCAAAAAGTTGTCTCAAAGTAAAAATATCAAATAGATTTATTTTAACGTTACAATTCTATCGCAACATTTGGATGCCAGTTTGTGATTTGAATGCTTGCTACACCCGTAGTGTTGCAGATGCGTTGCCACTTTTTAACAAAGTGGGCCCCGGCTACCTCAGTCAGCAGACGAAATGCAGAAGTATAGCCAGTGTACTTCCCTGGACGAACCTGGCCATTTGTGCTACAGCAAACTGTTGCTTGGAACTATCACTGTAATGAAACCTGTCCTCCGAAAGTTTGTCATAACTATGTCATGTTTGAAGTGTAACCTTTGTCCCGCAGAGGGGCCAGCACATGGAGTACGAGCCGGAGTGGGAGTCCGCTTTCAACTTGCACGTGAAACTGGCTCACAGCATCACGCTGGCTCTGGAGTGGTGCAGCAGCGAGCGCGGGCTTCTCGCCTCCGCCTACCGGATGGCGCTGCGCCGCCACGCCGACACGTGCACCCACGAGCCCCACCAGCTCAGAGGTGCCCAGCCCCACTTCTCAAATAACCACCCATAAATCGGGAGCAGCTGAGACCGTGTTGTAGAAACTTGTACTTCTGTGAGATAGAGTATTTCTATGTCTAAAAAGTGGGACTAGCATTTTTTTAGTATGGAATGTTATATTTAAATAAAATTCACTTTACGCACAGTTCATATGCCTACCTGTATTTTGGCATGGAGAACATCTACAACTAAACAAATTTCTCAATGCTTTTTAATTTGCTTCATGATAATATTGCACAACAAATATTTAATATACAAAATCAAATGTTAAAACTATTGGAACCCATTAATTGGGAAACTCAATATTGCAATCAATCTGAATCTTTTATTTATGTAAGAAGGTGGCAAGTGAGCTGGCGAATCACTTGATTTTAAGTCATAACAGCTGCCCATGGACATTTACAAGTCCCGTAGGCTTACAAAAGCATACCTTGCAGTAAGCTGGGCCCCAATTACCTCACTCACCAGACGAAACGCGGAAGTGTAACACTTCCACTCCACGCCGGTCTCCTGTCAGGTCGCGTCAGTTCCCCGGACGGACCTGCCCATTCCTACCACGGCGAAGACCTTGTGCCTGACGAGCGGTATTCAATTCGCAGAGCTGGGCAACCAGAGCGCGCTGGTGATCCCGTACGACGTGTCCAGCGAGCCAGTGTCCATCCACCGGCCGCTGTCCCGCTTCATCGCCGGCCTGCACCTGCAGCTGCAGCGGCACGGGCTGGCCTACCACAGCCGCGAGTTCGACCGCGCGGACAGGCCCAAGCCCACGCCCGAGGAGCTCATAGGTGACTCGTGGTTTGTTCATATGCGAGATGGTGACGACCGAGATGGTACACTCATGTTAAGTGGTTTCGACGACTACTAAGAGCCAGATGTCCTGGGTTCGATTCCCACTCGGGACAATTATGTGTGTAATCCACAGATACTTGTCTGGGATCTGGGTGTTTGTTCATGTAAAACGTCCTTATAATACGGGATAACGTTATCTTACCGTAAGGGCCATGATGGTTCAAACTTTGAGTCACTTGAAGCCGAAATGGCTGAGTGGGTTTTTTTTAATGATTACATTGTCAAATACTGATTCAGCAGCTCTCGTATTACTATATAGAAATAAAAATTATTTCAAGTTTAATAATTACCCAGTTGACATGACATAAACATGATTTGAAAATAAAATTTGTCAAGCATAGCCGAAGAAGAATATAAAGTAATAGTATTAACCATATTATCTTTAAAACAAATAACACGAAACAACCTAATTCAGGGACAGTTCTTAGCAAACATTAAATTAATAAATGACACAATGCATTTATATCCCACTCGTAGGCCTAGAAGAGATTACAGGACATACTTCGCCCGATGAAAGCGACAGTGAACTGAAACTGAAGTGAAATCTGGCGTTTCACAGAGCCGGTGCTGTGCACCACGGCGATGATAGCGCAGGTGCACGCGGGCATGTGGAGGCGGAACGGCTACGCGCTCCTCAACCAGCTCTACTTCTACCACAACGTCAAGTGCCGCACGGAGATGCTGGACCGGGACGTGGTCATGCTGCAGGTACTGCGCCGGCTTGCTCGTAATTTAGGACAAGCTAGGGGTAGGGGGTTAATAAATGCCTTAGTGAGTGACATACGGTGGTAGGGCCACACAGCAGCCTCACAGAAGACCGGCGTGAAGTCCAAGTTTTATACTTCTGCGTTTCGTCTGGTGGGCGAGGTAGCCTGGGCCCACTTTATTAAAAGGTGACAACGCATCTGCAACCCTACGGGTGTTGCAAATGTTGATAGGCGGCGGTTCGTTGAACATCAGTTGAACCGCCAGCTCGCTTGCCACCTTCACACATAAAAAGAGAAAAAACCTTAACAAAAGCCGGAAGCAAAGGCTAAATTGAAAACAGAAGTATTGGCTGTTTATTACCATTAATGTGGTTTTAACATTTGACAAGATTGGCGCGTCGCTGATCGAGAGCAACGAGTTCATAATTCACGTGCTGAACAAGTTCAACCTGCTGGAGTGGGCGGCGGCCGACTTTGAGCAGCAGAACCTGGAGTATGACACCCTTCGGCAGACCAGCAGCATGGTTGAGGAGTTCCTCGGACTGCTCATCACCGGTACTTCTTGTCTTGAGACCATAGCTGGGTGTGGGCTTATTACGAGATGTAACATAACTAGATCACCGGCAATGGTCTACTTCGCCTGAGCCCATTGCTGGGTGTGGGCTCATTACGAGATGTAACATTGCTAGTGTGTATATCATCTACAACTGCATTGCTATTTATAACAGACACTTCTATATGGAAATGAAAATCCAGGTACAATTTATGTATTTAAAAAATTTTAATGAAAAACGTAAGGAAGATTAATGAATCAAAGGGTCTGCTAAATCAAGTAACTGTTCAATAGCTAGTGTTAAGCTGTATTAAAAAGATCAAGTAAATTGATAAATTACATTGAACAAAACTTTAAAAAGTCAAGAACTGCTACATTAGATTAACTCTATGAAATACATTATATGTATGCAGTATATCCATTAGTTATATGCAGATCAACTATAATTTTAAGTACCAAATTGTTATATTCCTCGACAGTGGTCGGTTCGAGATACGTACCGGGCGTCGGAGAGGTGACAAACGAGGAAAGAACGAAGAAGGAGATAATACAGATGCTGTGCGTGAAGCCGATGCCGCATTCCGAGCTGAACAGGTGACCGGCACATAACTAATGTTGCATATCATGCTAAAACCTTTTAAATTTCGTCATGTTTCATTTATGTTGAAGTATATTTAGGTATTAGTGTATAATGTATTTAGTTTTGCCATATTCTTAATGATTGACATTTAAAATCTTGTATGTCATTTTAGCGTTACTACCCGTAACTTGCTCTCAACCACCAAAGGTTAACTGGAATAAAATACTATAACATTAAGTTCGCCTTTGTACAAACTTTAAGTACAATAAAGAATATACAAACAAACAAAAATGGTTTAATAATACTTGATGATTTTATCTGATAAAATTCTTGGAATAGTTTATTATATTAATCATGTGAAGTATTCATGTGTTTTACTGGATAACTGCATGATCTAACAATCGCTTGCAATATGAATCATTTGTTGTACTGACCCCATCTAGCTAGGGATAAGAGCTGGAGGATGATGATGATTTTCTTTCTATCAACACAAGCTGTTCTCAGTCAACAGTAAAATTTTGTCGATCGTAATAAACAAGCTGAGATGGCTACTACTAATACCTAATAGATACCTCTATACTAAAAGAAGTTTAATGAATTTGTATGTCACCAGAATACGAACCTTATTATTTCATCAGTAATTTGAATGTGTTAACCGTTGACTGTGGAATATTTCCAGGTCCCTGCCCGAAGACCAGCTGCACGAGACGGGCCTGGAGGCCGTGATCCACGAGGTGGCCGACTTCGTGAAGCCGCAGAGTGGCAGCAACCGAGGCGTCTACAAGCTCAAGCCCCACCTGTACGACGAGTACGACACCTTCTTCTACCACTACACCAGGGAGGAGCTCTCCAAGAGCGAGGAGGAACAGAGGAACAGGAGGAAGGCTGCCGGTTAGTTGTGGATGGGTTGCAATGCCGACACCAACAAATTTTTGATAGTTACTGATAACCAGCAATTCTTGCTGCATAATATAACCATTTAGTTTATTGATTATTTTTTTTCATTTTCAGTCCTTAAAATATTATATTTCTTCGTATAAACAGGAACTGAATTAATAACTACCTTTTAGTTCTTAACTGAACGGTGACCATAGTATTTCCAAGTACATAATAAGAAAGTTTGTAAATTGAGAATTGACTTATGTGCTTGAATATGTAATGTTGTTTATATCCATAGTCATTGTTTAAAAACCTGACACATAACTATGACGAGAATTTCCTCACTTATTGATCACTAAAATTTCCATTAACTGGTGACAATATACAGCGTGTCGTTACCACCGCGACAATAAATGAACACACATATAGATGATAACTTTTTAAAATTGTATTAAACATTTACATTCTTTAAACATCAATATTTACAGAGTTATTAAATTTTCCAAAACAAACAATTGTATAAAACTGTAACGTAAAGTTCATTTGTAAAGGTCACAAAGCATATGAATGGGTTGAATGAATTTAAAAGAGACAAAACATACTGTTAGAAGGAGAGGCTTGTAATGCGACGCTGTGGCGCGAGTTTATACAACTAAAGGTGTTACAAATTTTGTTTCTTTTTTACTTAATTAGTTTGTTTGAAAAATATTTTTTTTTTAATTATGGATTTTGTTTAAAGTTAATATTTTTTTATGATTATTGACAAGTAGCGTTAGACGTGTGTTCATTTATTGTCAGTTGTTGTCAGTTGTTCAGTCCGGAAGTACCGTACAGACGAAAGAAAGAAACTATACGCGTCCGATCGGCGCAGGGCTGGCGGAGTGCTGCCCGCCGCCGGCGCTGCCGCGGCTGTCGGCCGCCTTCCGGCTGCTGGCCAGCCTGCTGCAGAGCGACGCAGCGCTGCACGTGCTGCGCTGCGTGCTCGAGCGAGCGCTCGACCTGCGCGCGCGCTCCTTCTCCGAGACGCAAGTGCACAAGGCGCGCCTGGTTCCTCCATTTTTATATACAAACATTTTGGGATAACCTTGTCGAACAACGAACCCACGACCCCGACGCCGAAGCCGACACCTTGGCGACAGCGCCACGGAGTCATCATATTGTTATGCATGTTAAATGTTCCTATCCAGCGGTCATTGGGCATTCCTACCCCACCCAGAGCTCAGAGTGAACAACTATTGTGAGCCTATGTACCTGTATGAATGTGGAGGTGCGACACTTGTGACAGATCGATTCACTCGCCTGGTTAGTTTGTTTTTAAGCTCTAACATAAAAAGTGGGGTGTTATAAGTTTGTCTGTGTTTTTTTAAATGAAAAAGAAAACGCGATCGAGAGGGTTCTTAGCTATAATTTGAGTTTTTTTTTTTGTCATGAAGTTAATTAAAATTTTCAATTATGTTATTTTTCATTATGTATGTTTAACAAATAGGATTCAACAGGACAAACGGAAATGTAAACAAGAGTTTGTTTTTTGTATTTCCTCCACACGTCATTATAGTTTTTTTTTTAAAATAACCACGCGTTTTAAGTTGCGGATAAAACTTAGTATTATTGTAAATCACGATCTTTCATATTGCAGGCACTACATTTGATAGGCTACGCCGTCCGCGACGAAGAGAGCGGCCACTACGAGTTTCTGGCGTTTGCGGAGAGCGCACAGCGCAGTGGGCTTTTGGCACTGCTGCAGAAGCTGGTCAGCTGTCCACGCGTGGACGCCCACATCCCACTCGCCAAATGGCTCCTCGCCAGGCTCAAGTGCGTGCAGCTCATTAAGAATTTATCACTAAGAAGACATTTTCAAGCGGTTTGCATGTTTAATGCAAATTGGGAACTCTTCGTGGTATCTCCTTTGTTAGGGAGACTGAAGTTCTTTGTTCGCAGTCACTTATCCAAGTTGACTTTTAAAAAGCTGTGTCCTAAGTAGACCAATATTTTCTGCCAGCCCATAACTAGTACTAACAATGAAAACTATTCTCATATCTAAGCTCCGGTACCCAAATACCACCATCCATTTGAACGCATCTAACGTAACACTGCACGAAGTGACGAATGCGCCCTCACCAATCGGCTCTAAGAGATGTTGCTTGCATATCTCTGCATTTTCAAGGAGATTAATTTTGTTAAACTATCGTTTTACGCAGGTCGCTGTTGGGGCAGGACAATCAGACTGAAGAAGGGGATAAAATGGACACCGATCAAGATGAAAAGCAATGCGCTGGGGACCCAGCCGGTAAATTGCCCTGAACAGTTTCAAATAATTGATTAAGACAGAATTTTTTGACTTGGATTTGTTTCCATATATTCTATTTTATTAAGCTATATTTGTTTTAGCGTGTATTTAAAAAATAGTATTATATATATTTCTTGATTCTGAAAGGTTTCGTTTTTTATTGTATCTACGAACACTGCATTTCAGACGCGGAGAAAACAAGACGGGCCAAGTTGGCAGCGGAGCGACGTGCTAAATTAATGGCACAGATGAAGGCTCAAATGAACCAGTTCATATCCAATAACGCAGTACTCTTCGAAGAGACCACCACCGAGGTAGAGGAATATCCATATGAGATTGTACTTTGGACTTTTAATGATATCAATTTGTTTGCAAAGTGCAAATAAATCAGATGTAATTTTGAAGCTTTAATAAAATTTGGCTATCTAAGTTCAATTTGGGGCTGGTTTAGAAGGGGTTGTATTAAAATTTTTGTGAAATTAAGTTAGTGTTGAATAGGCGTTATGAGGGAAACTTTTGGCCTATAATGTTGTTGGTTTGTGAGGTTTCGCTTAAGAGAGGAGTTGAAAAGATAAATAATTTTTTTTGCTTTCAGTTGAGCCATAGTAGAAAAAAAAATTTATGATTCATCAGTGATTTTGCCAATAATTTATTACTTGGAGATCAACTGGCTGAGGGCATGACAATAATAAACTACTGGATTAAACCACTTTCAGTTGCGCACTTGTAAAGAGAGGAAAAAACACCACATTAGTAACACACGGTGATAATAACATTTATCATCTTTCAGATGCCCTATGACAGGGTATCGAAATAAGTATTCTTTAAGCTGTGTCAAATATTCCACCCGAATCGAGACTGTTTTGCATTGGTATCAAGAAATGGTGACCGCCGTTGCAGGTGACCGCCGAGGAGCAGGTGCTGCGGCCCCTGTACGCCGGCGCCGCGCTGGGGGTGTGGGGCGGAGGGGTCCCGGACTCGCCCCGGGTCTGCATCATGTGCCAGGAAGAGGTAAGTTTTACCCCTCAAGAGCTATGCTGGGTTAAATGGTGATTCTATTATATTGCACTCAAATATTACATCGGTGCTGGTACCAGGATTTGTACTCGGGTCGCTGGAGTTTAGGCTCCGGCTGCCTCACTCATCATGAGACGAAACGCGAAAGTGTCATACTTCCACTTAATGCCGGTCTTCCGTAACCGTGATGTTGGCATCGTCATGTAGGCGCGCGTGGAGTCGGCCTCGGAGCCGCTGGTGCTGGTGGCGTTCGTGCAGCAGTCGAGCGTGCTGAGCCGGCGGCGCGCGCCGCCCAGCTGCCCGCGCTGAGGCCTGGCCCGCCGCCGGCCTGGGCGCGCAGCCGCACGTCTCCAGCTGCGGCCACGCGCTGCACGCGCGCTGCTGCCGCAAGTACGTCGACGGCGTGCGCGACAAGGAGAAGATCAGGTGACGGCGGCCCCCAGTCCCAAAGAACACCCCTTCCCCCTCTACACCTGGCGACAACTCCGACTCTTGCAAGCCTTTACGGACAAGTTTCGCCATCTTTGGACGGATCAAAGCCTCGACAACTTTTAAAGTAATGGGCCCTGGTTACCTCAATCATCATACGACACGCTAAAGTATTTTACTTCCACTCCACGCCGGTATTCTGTGGGACTATGACCTTTCCCCGGACCTGCCCATAGGGCCAGATTTAAAGGTCTGGAGGCCTCGGGATAACAACTGAGTGGAGGCCCTTAGCCCCAAATTATTTTCTGTTAATTTCTATTAATATTTAATAGTATTATGTTTGTACAAAGTATTATAGGTAGAAGTTAAACGCCAAAAAACTATGAAAGGAAAAGTTATTTACTATTATTTATTAGTCGAAATTTAATTTTTCCGAAGCACATTATGGTATGTGAAATTAAAAGTCTACTAATCCATATGTCGAAAACACTTTTCAGACCTTACCGCCTTCGCCAACCAGTGGCCTTCGACGTGGAGAAGAAGGAGTACCTGTGCCCGTTGTGCGAGAGGCTGTGCAACACCGCTCTTCCTCTGATACCTGCACCCTCGTTGCCGAGTGGCAGCCCTCCGCCACTCAGCGAGGAGACCTACAACAATTCGGTGGACCTCATATTGAAGCTCAGGCATCAGGTGAGTGCCACGCCACATTACCATGCTCCAATTGCCAATATATCGCAATTTAACAGTCTTCTCCCTTGCACGAATGGGCAGGTACGTCTGGGTAAGTATCACGACCTCACAGAAGATGGTGAAATGGAAGTGTTATACCTAAGCGGATAGCCAGGGACCACTTTATTTAAATATGGCAACGCATTTGTGTTGCAAGTGTCAATAGGCGGTGGTAATTAATTAACATCAAGTGAACCGCCAGTTCATATTCTCTCATAAAAAAACAAATGCTCATCAGAGAAGTATTATAATAAAATGAAAGAATTTTTGCATACACGACCGTTCTTTAAGGCCGAGTCGCCAAGAGTGTAGCTTTTAAAAAAGACAAAGTACGTATCTTGTTGTTGCGATTTGCGATGATAACTTATCATCGCCCGAACACTCGTTTGCAAAGTTCTCCGTAAAACAAGATCCGGCTCGAAGGACCAGACATCGAAAGCGCATTTCGAATGGCCGGTGCACAGCGTACCTCTCGCGCCCGCAGGTGTCCTCCGAGGCGGTGCACGTGTGCACGGAGTACTGCGAGGACATCCACTGCCGCGCGCGCGCGCGCTCGGAGGGCGCCACTAGCGACGAGGGCGAGCTGGAGACTCCGCCCCAGGCCGAGGTGTACGCCTCCACACACGCGGAGACCGTGCTGCCGGCCGAGCTGCTGGTGCACTTCGACACGCCGCCCACGCCCAACCACCTCGCCACCACCCTCGTCGAGGACTTCGTCCAGGTGCTGTATTACCACGACCGCATTCTGCTAAAATGCTACCAACACAGCCCCCGTTCTATCCTACCAGTTATGGGTACACCGTGTCATGCTTCCGCCTAAAGTCAATATTTCAATACCTAAACAAACTCCAATCCATTACTCAAGTGTTTTCTTATGTACTTTTAATGATCATACGGCAAAAACTATCTGTGTGTATGATTGTTGGATACAAAATCAGTGATTTTTAACAAGCTGTTTTATTCTTTGTGAAACAAATACAAATCCAAACCAAAACCTCACACCCATGTCATTGTAGTTCCGATTTTTTTTATAAAAGATAAATCTATTTAAATATATCAGGTATAAAAATATTGATAAAATCTCAAAACAATGCAACAATTAACGCTCAACTACCGTCCGTCGCCAGATGCTGCCGATCGTTTGTAACTCGCTGGAGACGGGCGGGCTGGTGGCCATCGCGGCTCTGTACCGCTCCACGTCGTACACCATCATGAGCACGGACGCCGTCCTGCAGGCGGAGAAGAGACCGCTCCTGGGCGAGCTGCCGTCACGGCACAGGGACGCGCTGCAGGCGCTGATAAGGCTGGCGGCAGCCATACCCTCGGTGTGGCCCACACCCAAGCACGTGTCGCACCACGCGCTCAGCACGCTGAACACTTTAGCGCGCACCTCTCCACTCAGCCACGAGGTGTTCGGGACCCTGGTGGCCCTAGTGCTCACCGTGCCCTCGCTGTTCTGCAAGCCGGCCGGCCCGGCCCGACCCACGCACCTCGCCCGCCAAATAGCCCTGGACTCGTTCAGGGCCGAGCTGACCAGGGCGATGATCGCGGTCGACCTCGCCGGCTGCAAGGCGGAGCCGATGGACGGCCAGGAGGGGCACAGGCCCAGGCCCGACCTGGAGAACCTGCTGCCCCTGGCGAGGGAGCTGCGCCGGGGGAAACTGGACGTGGACAGCGTGAGCGCCGAAGCCGTGTGGGAGCGCGTCAAGAGCCAGTGCCACAGCTTCCTGCGCTGCTGCTGCCTCTTCTTCCACTTCCTGAGCGACATCATCCCGCCCACGGAGCTGACGGTGGCGGGCGGCGACACGTGGGACTCGATGTGCGCCTACCTGGACCTGCCGAGCAACTTCAGCGAGCTGCTAGACACGCCGCTGGCGAGGAGGAAGGCGCTGGAGTGGGCGGCGCTCTCGGACGAGTGGTTCAACGGCGAGGTGCCGGCCCACATCGCGCTGGAGCCCAGCGAGCCGCCCCGGCTGGTGCCGCTGCCGGAGGACTTCTCGGAGCTGATGAACGTGGTCTCCGAGTTCTCGTGCCCCAACTCGGAGCGCGAGGACAGCAAGTTCCCCACCATGTGTCTGGTGTGCGGCCAGATACTCTGCTCGCAGAGCTACTGCTGCCAGATCGAGATACGGAAGGCGAGCATTATTATATTTCACCTCAAATATCGTTTTTGAATAAGTGTTAGCTAGGCACATGCATTTAGAAAGTTTTATGAGACAGGGACTTGGTCTAAAATCATAGAAAGTTTGCTTACTTAATACTTGTATGTCCCTATTGCTTGAATGTGTGGTACAAAAAAAAGTAGTCTATAAATGTTGCTTGTTTTAGGCCACTGCTAGCAAAAGCCTTCTCGGTACAGAGGGTACTAGGAGGGCATAGTGCGGACTCCACATATCTTTGAAATATTATTTTTTGTCTTTATTTCGATAATATGTAGGTTTCCTCTCAGTGTTTTTCTTTTACCGCCGCGCACGTGATAATTCAGCACATAAAATAAACCGGCACAAAGGGAACCCTCGGTGCCGGCACCAATTAACTGAGGTTGCTCGAGTACAATGAATTAAAAGCGACCCGGACACTGACCTTTCGCGGTTTAATTACAATACTGAATCAGCAATTAACTCCGTGTAGCGGAGTCACCGTGACGCAGTGGCCAAGGTATCGGCTTCGGCGGCGGGGGTTGTGGGTTCGATTCCCACACGGGACAACTATTTGTATGACCCACAGACAGTTGTTTAGCATCTGGGTGTTTGTCCGCGTGGAATTTATGTTCGCAAAGCGTCCTTACAACACAGGATAATATAACCTTTTTTTAAAAAAGAAAGCAAATAAAAAACCAGATGGGGCGCAACGGCGGCGGCACGGAGCACGTGGGCGCTGTAGTGGCGCACGCGATGAGCTGCGGCGCGGGCGCGGGCGTGTTCCTGCGCGTGCGCGAGTGCGAGCTGCTGCTGCTCTGCGGGCCCACGCCGGCGCGAGGGGCCATGCTGCCCGCGCCCTACCTCGACTCGTACGGCGAGACGGACCAGGTGGGGGCGGCGTTCTACGTCCGGGGAAGTAGCACCACCTCACAGAGGGCCCGAGTGTCCGTCTGGTGAGTGGGCTGGCCGGGACACGCTTTGTTGAAAGGTGGCAACGCATCTGCAACTGAGTGGTGCAAATGTCCATAGGTGGCGGTTATCACTTAACATCAGGTGGGCCCCGATTACGTAGCTCAAAAAAGAAGGTAAGAAGAGTATCATACATATCGCTGCTGATATTGCTTTTTTTATGTACGAGTTAAATTTTTTTAATATGTGAAAAACACTGAAGTAATAACAACGAGACGTTTCCTTATTTATAAGGTTATTCAATCAACATTAAATGAGAAACGAACCTTTGCCCATGGAACCAATAACGCCAACATCGACTCAACATGTCAACTGTTGAACACGCTTCAGGGGCTGCGGCGCGGCAACCCGCTGCACCTGTGCCCGGAGCGCTACGAGAAGGTGCGCGTGCTGTGGCTGAGCCACGGCATCCACGAGCGGATCGCGCGCGGCCTCGACGCCAACATCATGATCGGGAACACGTGGCAGAACATGTGAGCCCGGACCCGCCTCGGCCGCGCCCCCGTTCTGGTGGCGCGCGCCGTGCACGTCGACGCGCCCTTCTAGCGCGCATGCCACATGCGCGCACATCGCGCGACATGCGCGCACATCGCATGTCCGCGCGCGCGACACGTGCACACGAGGCGTAAACGGGACCTGTTCTGACTGGTGGTGACTGACAACACTATCGTGATATGTGCAATCGTGATATGCACACGGACGGAAGGCGCTACGGCGGACATGTAAGCGCCTAGCGATCGACATGCATTCGATATTATGGACGAACCGACCGGTCTCCGATCGGTTTCTATAAGCTTTCGCCAAACGTCGCCGTGGCGATGAGCCATTACGTCAATATAGCACAATTGAACATGTTAATACATCGCCGTTTTATGTACATGTGTTGTCACTTGTAAATAGATTTTAAAAATTGTATTCATTTGGTTTTAACAAACTAATATGATACGCTTGTTCATTAATTGTAACGTTTTAAGTTTTATTACGATATAGGTATATATATATTAGCCTTAATGCTAAAGGCATGAAACATGTGATTTCATCTGAACATCTGACATGTAATTGTGATTCTTATTGTGTTGTTGTTAAGGTAGCTTTTGGAAGTGCGTTGACGCATAATTGCGCAGTATAAAGAACTGTGTGCCAATTAAGCAATGGAAATTTATGACTAACAATAAAGTATTTTACGCTTGAGTTTCAATATTGTTTTTAATTTTAGATGTAGTTATTTTATGAATAGTGTTGATTGCGGTTGATTACTTGAAATTCATATTAAAAGTATTAATTAATAGGAAAGTTTCGCCTTATAAGCTTTGTAATTATTAATTAGTGGTGATACCATATAAACTAAGGCACGCTAATTGGTGATTTAGCCGTTGTAATTATTAACACTATAGTTGTAGTGAGAAATTAGCTTTTAATTATTCTACAAAAATACTGGTTAAAAAGTGCGTGCAAGCACCAAAAACTGTACAAATCCATCTTCATGGATAAATAAGTATAATAAAAATAGTATTTTTCTTAACACTGTCATTGTTTGATACAAGACACTTCAAAGTTCAGGGGAATAAAAATAATAGATGTTAAAATAAACTGAATAATTTAACTTATAATAATTTATGTTTCATCATCATCTGTTCCTTTACGAGGGTTTAGATTTATGTAGTTTCATAAAAAAATCCCCCACACTGAGAAAAAAAATTGTAATTTGTCGAATTTTAACACCAAAATACTGAGCAGTCGACAATTACTAAATATTATTATATCTTAATATAAATCCAAACATAACCGATATATTTGCCTACAACTCCCGTTCTGGCGAGAAAAAGGTTGTAAAAATAAGTGAACGCAGTAAACAGAAAGCAATGTTAGTATTATAAGCTGGACAATGCATTTTGTCGAAATTATTAAAATAGAACAGAAGACTGCACAAAGTGTGTAACCAACGTCTTGTTAAATCGATGCAAAAGTTAGTGATATGTAGTAATGATGATATGAAAATAAACATATTATGTCGTTTAAATTTAATAATAAACAAATGTTTTCGTCCAAATAATGACACAAGTTTTAAATTACGTTGTATATTAGTAAAATATGGATTTTTAATGTTATGTATGGTGATTAAATTAGAAAGAATAATTTTTGGCAAATATTTAACCATATGGTAAGTTAAAGTAAAAAGAAAATAAAATGCATATGAATTTTCCTGATAAAACAAACAATATCAGACCTAACCGCAAGTGAATTCATCCATTTGATAAATTCTTAATTATTAATTAGACAGTTCTTACATTCTAGGGTAAGTAGCCTATTGCACTTTTACTTTTTTTATTATTATTTTTAGAGTTACTTCTCTGGTACACAATAATAAAGTTATCGCATTATGAAAAAAATTGTGACGCAAACAAACAATAGATTTTTTCGAATAATGTAAACTTTAATGGTTCTCATGTTGAAAAGTTTTGAATATAAAAAGTGCCTCATAATATAATTGTTTTAAAGTCTTGTTTTAGGAAACCTAAATTTTATCGATAAAGCATTGGGTAAATACAAACATAAAAGCTATTACAGTCTACGTACTTTTTTTACACTAACTGAGTTGCATATTATGGAATCTTTGCGCATATCGTTCTTTAATGAAAGCCTTATACTAGGAAACTGCAACATTTGTAATATATGTTCTGATTTTCTTTGTTGCGTTATATTATTACTTTATATGTTTTATATTCCAGCGAAATTAACGCAATTCATGATGAAAATGTAAATTGTAGATTGTGACAAAATGTTTATTTCTATAACTTATTCATTCAATTTATTGAATATAAATAAATTTTGTTAACGAAAACCACGCAGTTAATAAATTGAAAGTTTAAAAAGCAAACAAAAAGTGAAGGCAAGTTAGAACGTGAAAATGTTTCGTAGTTATTGAAGATCAGTGGGTTTGTCCTAAAACGGTTCCAGAATATATGTGCGCTTAAATATTACAGGCAGTTTTACAATTAATATTTGTATTTCATTGATTGGATTAATAAATGTTACCGAATTGAATAGTTTTTTCTTTTCTTTCTGACAGGAATCTGTGAGAATCTTGATTGTTACATTTTGCCTTAAAAATATAGATATAGGTATGTTTCAAATCATAAAAGACTAGGTACAATGTTAAGTAAATTTGTTATTTTGAAAGGAAGTCTAATAGCTGACAAGAGTATCCTAAGTAAATTCGTCCAAAATAATTACAAAAGCATTACGTACACCTCACCAGTATAGATTATGTCTACATAATTAACTATTACTCGGAATTCTTCCATTTAACTTTATTTTACGTCCGTGAAAACCGTACATAAAGAAATTTATATTTTGGCGTGCAAGAAATTTTAGATTTTGTGATTTTGAGTGAAAAATCATAAGAAATACATTACATAAACTTTTTCTTTTATGATATTGTTGTAATTAAAACTGCCGAATAATGTTAAAAATTGCCTGCAAAAAGTTAATAATTTGACCCCGACGTGATTTGAACACGCAACCTTCTGATCTGGAGTCAGACGCGCTACCGTTGCGCCACGGAGTCGTTACGAAACTAGCTGAATAGGAATCATAACTATTTAAATTTAGAATGACAAAATAAAAATGATATTATAAGATAAAATTAATAAAATCATCAGTTTATTTATCTGATTAACTAATTTAATAAATTAACATTAACTCCTAATAAATTATGCTGACATTGAATTTATATAGTAATTATAACTTAGATTTGAACGCAGACCTCGAGATTCTACGAACTTGATACGGCCGCGCATGTTTTCATGGCGGTCTTTAAAACGAAAAAATGACGGCTTGAAGTAGAAGTTTCTGCGGTTTGTCTTAGTGAGGTAGCCGGTATAGTAGAGGTTGTACTTACGCGGATAGCCGAGGCCCACGTGGCAACGCATCTGCTACCCTTTGGATGTAGCAAATATCAATGGGAGGCGGCTATCCCTTAACATCAGGTGAACCACCAGTTCGTTTGCATCCTCACATAAAAAATCGAGGTTTTGTACGGACCGTGGGGTCACACTCACTCTTGACTATACTTTAAACGGTGGCTGGAGGCAGTCCAAAACACTGAAAAATGTCTTTGGTTCCCTTGTGCACGCGTTGTTGGTTTCGTCATGCTCGTAGATGAGGACGCACTATCTGGTTTGTGCATGCTATTACTGTATATTTTATATTCATAATATGACTGTCAGAATCTGGTGGGTGCGGAATATGATATTTACCAACTATTCCGTTTCGAAATATATCTGGGTGTAGGGAATGGCAAATAAATAGACCTGTAACATGAATTAAAACACTGCTATGGTAACAATGTAAAATTATTTAATATATTTCAATGCCACTTACAGATTACCATTTTCTATATTTATTTACAGCTCATCATTTGTGGAAAAGAAAATAAATAAATCACTATCCAAGTACATATTAACATTATTAAATGCTCTTAATGCTATGCGATATTAAAACTACTTATGAAATGTACTTTGTTACAATGACTAAGTAATTAATCAAGTACAATCTTTACCTTTATACAAATTATATATTATTTATAGTATCTACTTAAATAACTAATAAACATTTGATAATAAATTAATAAATAATATTTTTATTTATCAAACGTTTTCTCAGTCTATTCTTATTAAAACAAGTCTTGAATGTATTAATTTTTTGTTTTAAAATCGATAACTTTATCAAAAGATTAAAGTGACACTGACTATAAATAATGTCTAACTTCCTCGATAACTCGTCGGAAACGTGTATTGTGTTAATACTTCATTGTAACTAAATAACCTTTTTAATGTTGGAAATAATCAACCTTTTTTTTGTGCTGATAACCAACATGACAATGTTTGGGAAAGGACATTTTTCACTACTGAGTTTGTTATGTAAACTTCACGATAAAACCTTTAAGAAATTATGGATTACAGTTTTACATTTGGATAAAGTATTGAAGATTTACCAAAATATTTAATATTACTTTTATAATACTACATTACATATATAATAAAAAAGATAGTTAGTAAACTGTAGCTGCCTAAAATTAAGTTTAGCAAAAAACCAGAGAGCTAACTTTTGTCACACAAGTATCCAGCGTTGAACAGAAGTAAATACATAACAATAAACGCCTTCCAAACCTGAGATCGTTTTATACATAATGAAGTTACCATACAAATATTTACAAATGTTAAAGTTACTACATAAAATTTAGGTTACTAAAAAAAGGAATTGATGGCTACTACATGCAAAATTTAGGTTTAACTCTCAGGCCAACATTTGAGTTATTTCATCCATTTCATACTTCAAAATTTAGTAAAATACCATTGAAAAAATTCTAGTACAATTACTGCCTGATCGAATTTTGAATCGCTCTAGCAGAGTTGTAAACAAATCTAATAAATATTTTAAAGAAGCTCTTGCAACTCTTATTTTCTCCCTTAACAAAATAAAACAAACCACATAACTAGTTAACCCAACTTTCTTAAATTGTTTTGAAAAATGGGCTGTGCAAAGAAATGAGATATGTGCAGTGTGAACATTACTATTTATATTCTATATTGTCAGTGCAAAGTATAAATAAACAAGCTGCCAATTAGGGGATATCTATATGTAGTCGTTTAATGAATTTTTAACTAAACAATACAGAATTGAAATTAATTATTAACGCGTACATCCTTTAAGACTGTAATCAAGTTCTTAAGTAGTCGACTGGTCGCGCCAAAGTTTATGGTGGCTACGAAGGGCGCGTGTATGGGCTCAATTAGTCTTTTTTAGAGTTGTCTGTTGGTAATTACTATTGATTTGCCAGTCTTTTAACTTCTTTTGAATGACAAAATTAAATTATTACCGTTTAGTCGACAAATGTTCCTCTAGTTTTTTTTATATGAAAAAGTGGCAATCGAGCTGGCAGTTCACCTGATGTTAAATGATAACCGCCACCATTTTGCAACACCCGTATGGTTGCTAAGTGGGCCTCGCCTACCTCACTCATCAGACGCAACGCAAAAGTATAACGCTTCTACTTCACGCCGGTCTTCTGTGAGGTCGTGGTACCAACCCACTAACCCTTGCAAGGCCCTACCACAGTAACAAGACAAAACCTCAATATATCTCATTTTGAGAAAAAAAATATGTTTCTCGATAGTTATTTGTAGTAAGAAATGTATAACTTCCAATCTGCGTAAAATAATATGTGTGTGTTTTTATGATTCGTTGGTATAATTTTGTTCAAATGGTTTTTAATTAATTGAGTAACACAGTGTAATGAAGAAAATTGGAAACATCATTCTGACAGATTAGATTGAAAATGAGACAATTGACTAATTTTGTTTTTGTGTTTGCGACTGATAAAAAGTGCTTTATGGTGTTCTTGAAATGTTGTAACATATAATTGAATTTTGCAAAACTATCCAATAATATGTACCATCTACTGCACATTTGCTGACAGTGCATAGTGCATCCCTTTCGCTCCTATAAACTGTGCGACAGAGAAATACTATTCTAGCCCAAGTCTCACTCCACAAATACATTAACTTAATCTACTTAAAAACTACTTGTAATAAGTGCCACCAGTTTAAAACGTGTTAGGATGGCTATAAGCTCATTCGCATTGGAAAATTTATTTGGGACTCATTTATAACCTACCAAATTGGCTTAAAAGTCCACGAAAAGGGACTCTGACCTCATATTACGGTATAGTTAAATGTCGTATTATCGTCCATGCACTAGTTTCAAAAAGAATTTCGAGCAACATTTATGGGAATGTTAAGCCAAAAACATTTTAATTAATGATTATTTGGTTGCTTTTTTAGATATTGTTACTAAGGAGGCGTATAAAAGCAACATCCCAAACTAAAGTCCACAAAATTTAGATGACATTACATAATAATCTGTTTTCCAGTAGAATGATATTTACTTGTTTTTTCTTATAACTAGTGAAGGGATGAAAAAAATCTTTAATTTTCTTCGTATCTGACCTTCGTACCAGTAATCACAAATTGGGACTCCAATTTGTTAAAATGTTAGCAGCAGTAGAATTTGTGTTAGAGTTAGTTTGATTTGTTTGCATCTTACTGCCTGTAATTTTTGCTGTATTTTTGGCACCATTCTTCTTTTCTTATCGGTTTAGTAGAAAATAAGCCAGCCCTAACTGCACAGGCAGTTGTCGCTTCCAGCGGTCACCTGCGGTCTTCGCTGACGAGGAAGCGTCACCACGCCATACCCCGGCTCTCCCTGCAAGTGGAAAAATGTGAAGGCATAAATTTCAAGGGTGTCCATTAAATTTCAATGTTGCCAAAGTTAATAGAGGTAGTTAGGTAAAGCCATCATTGCACTGATCTTATCAGGTGAACAGTTTGCTCACCAAGTTACCACATAAATTGAAAGAGAGATTATGTGAGTTGTGCGCGTGCCCGAGTAACATCTTTATGAAATCTGTCCCGCAAATATTTTTTTTAATACTTTTTTATATTGTACTAGCGACCCGCCCCGGCTTCGCATGGGTACAATGTATATTATACATAAACCTTCCTCTTGAATCACTCTATTTAGTAAAAAAAACCGCATCAAGATCTGTTGCGTAGTTTTAAAGATCTAAGTGTACATAGGGGCAGACAGACAGCGGGATGACTTTGTTTTATAATATGTAGTGATGCACAGCAAAGAGATGTTTACATTAAGTGACATTTTACCACAGTCACTCACTTGTTTTGCCTTCCCGGAACCCCTCCCATCAACACTTAAACTTTATGGTATTAAAGTTCAAATTGACTTTTAAGCATTATTACGAATCTTTTGTACGGGAATATAAAAAAGTGCTGTTTTTTAGACCTTTTTAAGCAATTTTTAAAATTTTTCTCTCCGTAAGAACCATCTTCCTACTTTAAGGAATATTATAAAAAAAGAATTATCGAAATCGGTCCAGCCGTTCACGCGGGATGGTGTGACCAAGGGAAATAGGGATTCATTTTTATATATATAGATTCCGTACACATTTGTTATTGTTAGATTTATTGATGTTACTTGATGTACTTCGCATGTGGTGTTTACCTTCAATTAATTGTGCATTTAACTACAGAAATATTCTGTATACAAGTAGTATACAGAATATTTCTGAATTAAACTAATAATTGCTCATAAACCAAATAAATAAAAATAAAAAAGAGTATAGGCCTTTTGGGTAGAAACCATTTGTGGCCTCATTCTCAAAATTACCATATAGAGAATAAATTTCATGTTAGTTTACCTCAACACTGACAACTCGAAGTGGCTGCTTAGAATACAATTTGTGGGCAAGAGTCATGAATATCGACTCCACATTGTCACACTCAGTGTCCAGAAGAGCTGAAGTCTCAAATAGCTGAAAAATCAGAATGAACAAGATTACTTTATAAACCTTAAATTTACTTATTATTTTTTTTTTTTGTATTACACTGGCACATTTCATATTTCATTTTATTTCTTTTCTTTAAAAATGAACTTCAGAAACAAATATTAATTACATGATATTCAAATACAAATGTGTATCTAATATTGGGAGAATATAAGTGTCCAGAAAATTACAGTATGTGTGCAGATGGTAAGCCTGAAACAGCATAGCCTCTATAGAGACTCTCTCTAGAGTCTATTGGAGTATATTCAGAAGGATATGATTTTACTTTATTTACCTGATGTTGAATACATAATCCTATTGAAATAAAACGAAAACATCACACAAAGTCAAAGATACTAAAGATTTAAACATTGTCATCCAATCTCTAACAAGTACCCATACTGAGATATCATAGAACTCCATTTTTATCACTATCTGGGTGTTGAGAATGATGTGTATCAACTTACCGGCATTCCGTGTTTGTCTGCCAACCGCTGAGCATAGGCGGTTGCGAGTCGCGATTCTGGCGTTCCGCAGTCGCACTTGTTGCCGACCAGGACCCGAGGCGCCTTCGACAGTCCATGCGACTCCACCTCCTGCATCCAGCTGGCTATAGACTGCAAGAAAACATAACAAGAAGAATATACTAGCAAAGGAACAAATATATTAATAAGCCCACACAACTACAACCCTTCTACAGCCCTTGAGTCTAATGAAGGTTCAGTCCTTTACACCAAGTTTAAATCCTGGTGCCAGCATTAAGCTGAGTGTTATGTGAAGAATCCACAGTGAATTGTGCCTCTGTAAAGAGATTAAGCTGTTACTTTACTTTTTTTTTATTTTACATAATATGGTATTGTTCAATACCTTGAAACAATTGTGATAGATTCAGCAACCAGATGTTTTGAAAGAGTCAGGTTTTTGTTAGTGTTATCATATAATACATACACAAATAAATAAATAAGGCATGTTGATTGAATCTTGATATTAAATTGGTGATGCATTCTTGTGAGACTTTTGCCCAATGAAAAGCATACATGTTTGCAAATAAACATAATTTTTAAAATAATTTTATTCTATCACTGCAAAAAGTTTCATATGTAGCATAAATCCTATTACTATAACCTTGAAAAAGCCTATGTATACTGTAAAGTATATGTATGTTGTTTATTGAAAGCATAATGTCACTCTCTTATAGACAGGTTTCAAACATAAAAAAATTGATTCTTACATGGAATGTTTCCGGTTTAGTGACATCATATACTATAACAACAGCATGGACGTTTCTATAATAGTGCTGCACCATTGACTTGCGGAACCTCTCCTGACCTGCTGTATCCCAAAGTTGTAGCTGAAAAAATTAATATGCATGGCCAAACTTATGTGCTATTACAATTAAAATGCATGTGCTAGGTTTTGTTTTAAAATACCCTATAAAGCATATGTGACTCCTTTACTAAATCAGGGAAATTTATTATAAATAGAATCTCGTATATTCATGCAATATAGTTGTATGCTATATACTGTCATTAGTAATCGAGAGCCACAGTATTTATATGAGAAACTTTTTTTTTCTGAACGCAACATCCGGGTTGCATGTCGTTTAATGCGTAAAGAATATCTGCTCAAGGTGAAAAACAACAGATTTGCAAATTTTTGACTAGTGACTTGGTGTTATTGTAGAGTTAGATATTGATGTTTGCATTTATTTTTTTTTTTTGTTTTTCTTTTTGGTAGTCGTTTCTTTTTTCTGTTCACTGCTTTATACTTATAGATGTAAATTTTTTTAGTCGTTATTGTGTGCCTTTGAAATAATGTATCAGATTTGTGTTATAATTAGTAGTTATTGTCCCTGAATTAATAGCTATTTTGTGTTAATTTTAGTCTAGTTTGTTATTTATAATTTAAATTTTTGGTATGTACTGGAAATTGATAAATCATACAGAGTACATACCTACCTATTTGGTTTCATGTCTTGATATACATATATTATTTTAATTGTTAACATTACTGTGTTTGTTGAAACTAAATAAATGTTCATTATTTCAATGAGCACATTAAATTAATATTTTTGCGATGGTAAATTATTAAATACATATATCCATTCTGATAATTCCTTTCACGAAAGATTTGAGTCACAACAAGGCGTGCCTATTTATGCAAAGACGTGCTGGAACGTATTTTTACCTTAATATCTTCGTTAAATATTCGAACAGTCCTTTCTCTAAAATCAACACCGATCGTAGCCTCTGATTTATCAAGGAATTGACCTTCGCAGAATCTGTATGTGAGACACGTTTTACCCACTCCCGAATCGCCTAAAACAATAATTTTAAAAACTTTCTTCTGTTTCAAGCCTGGTATTTGTTCATTTGTTGACTCCGTCATACTGATCGACTTTTATCACCAAGAATTACAAAAATATTTTTACAACTCTTATCAAAAGTTAATCATCACTTGTTTCGACATTGTCTCCTCCTGACGTATTTACATTTTTTACACCATAATAATACACCGTCGTATTTAATCTATTAAAATAGTCTAAAATTTTTGTGCACGGATAAATAAATTAATATTTTGTTATCGGTAAAAACTAGAGCTGTAGCAAACCGCATGTATTCGGTACTGAGTAACGGGTGCGCCATCTAGTACCGAGTAACGAAACGTTACACACAAATACATATCGTTGCTCGCATATTTCGTAGTATGGGTACTGGTACTTTCGTAGTACACTGTTTAAGTTCACGCAAGTACCGTTGATGTGTGTATTGAATGAATCATTTGCTGATCATATGTTTTACGCATGCGCGAGGTTATTCGGTGAAGTTAAAAACGTACGTTTACAAAGAGAGATTTATGTTTATTAAGTGAAGTATAATTTGTAATTTCGTCGTCCAAATTTTTTACTGTTTATTAAAGGTATTGTGTGTGTAGACAAAGTTTTAGATTAGAACAGAAACAAGATAAGAAAGTATTTCTTACAAATTAAAAATATGTATATTTTGGTTTTTTATTATCACGTAATTTCATGTTTTTTTTTGTTCTTATCCAAAAAGAGGTATTGTAGTAAAGCCGTTTTAATGATATTTAATTGTTTCTTGTTTAACAAAAACTATTAATTATCAAATATTGTCTAAAAATATCTAACATAGCATGTTATGAGGTATCGAAAGTAACGAGTAACGAAACGATACTATAGTAACGAGTACTAATTGTTGTAGTAACGAAGACATACGGGTACGCTTTTTTTCGTTACTTTTACACCTCTAGTAAAAACATGAAAAAAAAAATGTCTAAAAGTCTAGGGATGTCGAAAAAATACGGTTATGAAATATGTTTAAATATATCGATATTTTAGCCGATATATTTTGATCTAGCATACCGATATCAAAAATTGAATATCGAAATTATATAAAAAACGATATTTTTATTCAAATTTAATTCAGCTCAATATTAACAGATTTAAAATAAAAATGAACTGGAACAAAAATAACTGTTGTCTACGGCTAACATGCAATGTTGGATTTTGTACTATCATAATGATATTTATACTACAATTTAATGCTTCGTGCTCTAGACTATCCATATCTAACGTACACCATTGTATAGAGGCTAACTTATAAATAGCATGCGAAATATAAATGGTATTAAACTAAAGTTCCTTTACTCTAATATTTAAATAAAGTTAACAAAATTTAATTACAATGAAATTCTCAATATAATGTCACATTTATAATATAATATTAAGTATTCTTTGTCCTATTGACCAAGATTATATACCTAGACTTTTAGATTAATACAAAATTATAATAAATAACAACATAATGACTTACATTCCTTTGTTTTATTACGATTTCTCATCCATTTAAATAATGTGAAGTAAGTATAAAAATTACTATTACCTATTATTGAATCAAACTGAACTAAATAAATTTTTAAACTCAACATTTTTACCGATATGTATATGTAGTATAATATTGCTCGAGTGTAAAATTAAAGGTTTTTAGGTTTTGAATTTTAGCATTAATTCATTAATAATTTGCTGATGACTCGCTATGATTTGATGATAGTCGCCAAGGCATCGGCTTCGGCGTCGGGGGTCGTGGATTCCCACACGGGACAACTATTTGTGTGACCCACGGATAGTTGTTTCGCATCTGGGTGTTTGTCTGCGTGTAATTTATGTTTGTAAAACATCCCTACAACACAGGATAACGTTATCCCAAAGTAAGGGCAATGTTTTAAAAAAAAAAATTTGAGACAAAAAATAAGTTACAAAAGATTCGTTAGAAAAATTTAAAACGTACAACGATTCATTATTAAGAAATAATATACCATAACATTCAAACATTATTTCAGTACCTACTTTCCCTCTGTACTTTTCCTAGTGTGTTTTTCTATAAGACGTATTTGTATTTCTTTTACGTCGGCAATATTTGTAAAATTTTCTTATTATATTAATTATTACATTAACAACTTCCCATCGAAATTAATCCATTCTTATCACTGTTGATATATTTAATGGTGCAAAATTTCCGAAATGTCAGAAGCTCAAATATAAAATAGTAATTTATATAATTTTAGTTCTTATATCCAAAATATTTACAACATTAAATCGAACTAAATTACATGTTATCTTTTATACTTAGTCCATGCGGTATGGTCCAAGAAGTATTTCCTCGCTAAATTTAAATAATATAAAAAGCTAACATTAATATATAACACAATTTCTGTTTATTATTACGTGTTTTCAAATAAGATGTATGTGAGTACTTTTTTAAGCAGGGTTTCTTGAGGCAAAACCAAAATTTGAAAACGTACCATAGCGGATCCTTATCTGGCATGGCAGCACTATTTGCATAATTTAGTAGGTTTAGTAGTTAGTAGTAGGCACATTAGTAGAATTGTAGTTTTTGTCCAACTCTGATGACGAGGAATGACCTCTGTCAATTTGTCATAATTTACGACGATTTACTCGAATTTTATACAGAATATCCTGTCCTTAGAGATAATTTATGTTAGTTTCGATGTAGATCCGTTTATAAATATAAAAATTTTGACTAGTTACGGCCGTCAGGGATACCGAGTTATAACCTCTTGAACTTCTCTATCGTTTTGAATTTTGATTCTTGTAATTGTCGATAGAATTCGTTTCGTTTGGTAGTGATAAAAGAAAGTGTTGCATATTCAGAAGGTGGTATCGTGTTGTGCTCGATGTGAGCGTGGACGTTGGTAAAACGACCCGCTAATATGTGAAGAAATAAAATGTGTGTGATTTGGTGTAATTTAATTACAAAGTGTTTTTGTGGTGATCGTTGTCGGATGCTGCCGTAGGATTGCAATGTCCAGGCTCGTCGACTACTTCGTAATTGTGGGTTTCGACCACGAAAAAGAAAGTAAGTTTTAAATATACAACAGAGGCTCATTTCTAAAATAAATCCCGCTTTGAATTCCGATTAGGTTCTAATCATATATTTGTTATAAACAAAGCATTTCTACTTTTGAAATCAACATTTTGTAAGCGATAAAACTTCTTATTTATTTATTAACCTTTAATTATATATTACTTAATTTAATACTATAATTATTATACTATTAGAAAAAAAAAGAAATGGAATGAACTACTGATTAACTATAAATCAGTAAACTCTGTATCTCTTAATATATTTCCCTCACCTGTATAAGTAGAAAAAAATTACTGTATTTTTTAGATCTAGGTAGATCCAATCCAATACTTTCTTAGTCAAGGAGTTCAATGACTTTAATGTTAAAAATTATTATTTTTTTTGTTTTGTTTGTTGATATTTATGCAATCAATTATAGTAGATTAAATCTAATGAAATTATCAGTTTCAAATAACAGGTACATGTTGTAATTTTTCTGTTTATCTTCAAAATTATCTATAATAATTTTATTTGTGTTCATTATGTTGATTATCATCATTAATATTCTGGTTAATAAATTAATATTTATGATTCTTTAAATCTTTGCTTGTTTATGTTCTTACTATCCATCAGCAATGCTTATTTCCCAATTAAAGTCTCCAAATGAGGTCAATTGTGGCCTTTTGTAATTGTAATAAATTCACTGTAAAATCTGAGAATATCGAGTGAATGACCAAGTAAAACAAATCTTTATTGGTAACTTATGACTATTAAACATCATCATTTGACCAAAATAAGTAAAACATCTACCAGTAAAACATAAATAGTAAAAATAAATTAGTATAAAAATACAGCGAATTAAGACAACACAATAAATACAGACTATTTTAATAAATTGCCTTTGCATCACTTTGAACCGCTCTAAATAGCCAGCTTATTTATATAGCCTTGAATCACAGTGCATGTTAATAGATCCCAAGAATTGATATCAGTGAATTGATTCAATGTAAGAGTCTGCACTGAGTCTTAGAAGGTAGGTAGTAGGAGTAGCAATTGTTTAAAAAATTTGAGGTTTATGCAAATAATTTTTATAAGTTAATAACATATATTTTCCTGATTTAAAAAGGGAGCAATATTATTATAAAAAAGAAAAGAAAACAATGATATCCTTTTACATTAAACTAATTTAATTCCCTCCTTTCAAAATTCTGCTATATTTTTTACATTAAGATTGTTTTTTTTATGTAATTTATTTGCATATAATAACACAATTTATTTGCAAGGTTTCAGTTTTTAATTCATTATCTGAGATTCAGGAAGTTTAAATGTGTTATTTTTTGGGGTCAATATTTTATTGTAAAACTGGAAATTAATAATAAAAAATTAAATACTTAAAAAAAAAGTCACCAAACACAAGTTATTGGTATATTACACACAAGATAAAAAATGACTTCTTGTCTAGTGTAATTTAACGGAATATATAGGGAGGATGCCCATATAAAGAAATAAGTTTTTGTTCTAAAAATTTTATTAAATTATAGTTCTGCAAATTACAAGCCTATTATAAAGTCTTCGGACCTTATGGTAATAGAAACGGAAAAAGAAACATTAAATTATTTTGTACTTTTTTAAAACTTGAACAATGTAATAACTATGAATTGATGTGGTAAAAGACACTTTTAGACAGGTTTTTACTTAAAATCATGTTTTACTGAACATATATATATTTTTTATAAACATGCCAAACTTGCTTTGATTGTAAATTTTCAATTTGCAGAAGCTTACATGATGTTGTATCGCATAAAATACTAAAAATCATGCATGTAATAATTAACGATTTGAGTTACGTTATCATTAACGCATACCGACAGACGTTGCTTTGTCCACATACGTTTGTGTATCATGATTATTTAACCCGCGTTCGCATGAACGGATAACGGTACCCGGTACCCATTGACTTCTTGGCCGTACCATTTTCGGGAGTGCGACGTCGCTTTTCGATATTGAACGGTCTGTCGAAACGCTTCTTGTTTAAATAAACGTTTAAAACGGTTCTATTCTTGTGTCCGTATATTTAATGGCGTCTAATCGCTCCCGCTTCTTTTTGCTTCTTTTATTTTTTAATAATCTTTATGTATTTGACGTCAGCCAGTGAGATTATAATTATAGTCTCAAAGAGGTTGGATGGCCGCAACAGGGACGATACAAGTTTTATAATGGTACATGAAAGCCTTGCGTTGAGTCCATCCACTGACTAACTAACGTACTACTGGGCATGTATAGATAAGTGTATGGACTTTGGAATTATTTTTAAAGGATTTCTTCATTGTTTAATTTTAGAATCGACTTCGATAACATTACAAATGTTTTTGTTTGATATAAAGTAAATGGGTACACCTCCTTTGTATAAACGGTATTAGGGCATAGTCCACCAAGTGCCCCTACTTTCTGAATACGATTATTTTTGAGATTTTAGTATATTTACGTATATATATATATACTGGTACAAAACTAAATCTAGGGTCAATTAATGCATTCAGTGTATGTGATTATAGAAAATACGTGTCTGCGATGTCTACGGATATCCGTAACACGTAATCTGGGCCAAGTTGCCGTATACACTTGCAACCGAGCCAGTCAGCCAGTCAATCGCACGCGTTCGTGCGCCTCATTACACAGTCGTCGAGTTTTTGTTACGCCTTTCATCCAAAACGCGAGCACGTAAACGCCGCGCTATTCATATATATATTTATATGCCCGTATATGCTGTACATGTCCTATGGCTCCGTTCGCGCAGTGGCTTACCGCTTCCCTGGGCGAGGCTTGCACCGCCAGAGTGTGGGATCAAGTCCGAGGTCCGTTTCTGCGTCAAGGACGCACTGAATTTCCATATAATCGCGTGCAACCCGTTCGAGGGTTGGCCCTCGACCATCCCTTTGGCAACTTAAATAATATTTGAAAAGCCATTTGACAGGTGATTAGTTAACATCTACGCTGATCAGTTAGTCTTTCAAAATTTCCCAAGTGAACGAATTTGATGACAACGTGCATCTTTAGTTACTGTGATAATTTATCACATAATAATAGTCTACAAACTGGCACACTTAACGCGTACGTGCAAATTGTCAAATACTTTAGACTTTAATATTTTATTTCTGTCGTTACCTAGACATCGAGAATTTTTCTTGAATTGAATCCTGTTTTTATTTGGATAAAAATAGTCTGTTATTTTTTTAATTTTGATAGTAACTGACCAGACAATTTAGTATAGATACAATATCTTCAGAGAATATACATTATATTATAATGTAGTAATGTAGAAACCACTCAAGTTCGCGGTCGACCTCTTAGTTCAACGTACTTAACAAGAGGACTCCTCAGGGAACGACCTATCTCCTCTATTATTTGTACTTTACGCAACAGATATTGTACACTATGTGAATGCTTGGAAATATCACATAGGCGGACGACTTACAGCTATATAGCTATCTCATTTAAATCCTATTAATAGTGCTCGGCAGTCTTGTTGCTAAAGGAGGACCTTGGTAGAAAATTAGAATGGTCAACAATTAATTGTCTTATTCTCAATCCTACTAAAACAAAATATGTAGTATTCGGATCGAAGTTTCATTTTAATAATGTTCCCCTTAATTGTAAGATCACCTAGGCATTGAGTTAGATTCAAATTTGCGATAAGAAAACCACCTGAAAAGTTGTTCAAAACTGTTTTTACAGATTAAATGTTCTTTATAAGGTTCGGCAATATCCTAATGAAGATTTCAAGATTTTATGTAAAGCCTATGGTAGACAACATCGTCATCAACATCAAGTCTTGAAATATTACCTTTGTAATTGGTTGGTATATTGATAATACATATTCGAAATTACTGGAATATCAAATTCACTCCCAAATTACGCAGTGAGGTTTCTTATCAGAGTCTTTGGAACTAACTTTATTTACTTCACAATTTTAGGTCTCGTAAAAGTTTTAAAACTAAAAATTTGGTAACAAATATTTCATTACTCTGATTACCATGAAGGAATATACGATTTGTCTGTAATTTTACAACACATAGCACCATGTATAAATAACTAGAGATCCGCCCCGGTGAAATGTATTATACAGGGAGGCTTTTCTAAGTGTATCCATTTTTTTAAATTATATTCTAGTCATAAATAATGTTACATAAAAATGATAAATATTTAAAATTACCCTTAATTAATTAATGAAATTCATTTGAACTTATGTCAAAAAGTGTGTTACTTATGGGCAACTCATGTATTTTACGCGCGATCATTCATAACTAACACGCACACAAGTTCGTTTCAAAAGTATACGAAGCATTTATGAATGACTGCATTGTCAACAAGTTCTGTTTTTAGGGAATAGAATTGTAATTTTTTGGAAAAAAAAAGTTTATTTTATTTCAATTAACGATTATACTACCGAGTCTGAACCTGCTGTGTGAATTTGGGCACCATTAAAAAAGCCACCCTGTATATAAAAAAAATAAAAATATAAACCTTTCTCATGTATCACCCTATCTATTAAACAAAGCATCAACATCCGTTGCATAGTTTTAAAGATCTAAGCATACATAGGGACAGACAGACAGTGGGACGACTTTGTTTTGTACTATGTAGTGACGATCCGTTGCGTAGTTTTAAATATCTAAGCGTACATAGGGACAGACAGACAGCGGGACGACTTTGTTTTATACTATGTAGGTAGTGATATTTTGAAGCGATCGCCGAACGCGACCTGTTGCCCGCGCATAGTTCACTGGTCGACCTTCCAGCCGAGCGGGAAACGCCAACTCTCGGCCAAGTCCTCGTCGCGTGATGCGCTTTGCTAATTCAATATGCGCGTCGTTCGTATCCATTTGAAAGAGCATTTAAGTTTATGCTTACTATTATAGACAGTTTAACGTCTTGGGATTTCTCCATACAGACTATTCATCGTTAGTTATGCCGCAATTTTTCAAGTCAATAATTATGCTCGTGTGTTAGCA